CAACTTATGGGGAAGAGACGTGATGCAGGGTATGGGATTGATCTTATCTAATGCATATTCATCTCAGGCCCAAGATATAATGATAAGAATGGGCCATAGGCCAGGAAAGGGCTTGAGTCGCTCCAAACAAGGAATACGGGAGCCAATAAATCCTAAACCTAATATCAACAAACAGGGCCTGGGTTTTTCCTACACGCCACTGGGGCAGCACGGCCCATACCATGGAAAACAGAGACCCCAGTGTGGGTTCCCCAGTGACCACTTACCTCTGAAAAAATTAAAAGCAGTGAATCAGCTAGTTAATGAGCAATTGGTTCTGGGACACATAGAACCATCCATCTCTCCGTGGAATATCTACTTAAACAAAAAGGGGGAATAATGAAGGAGTTGCCCCCGACGCCAAGAGTGGCCATTGCCATGGCTCTGTTCACTATAAATTTTTTAAATTTGGATGATAATGGCCAGAATGCAGCAACACGACATTGTTCAGATCCGCAGCGGTCCAAGGATTTGGTTAAATGGAAAGATGTGCTTTCTAATGAATGGAAAGGCCCGGATCCCATTCTATTGAGATCCAGGGAAGCTGTTTGTGTGTTCCCGCAGGATCAGGAAAATCCATTCTGGGTGCCAGAGAGACTGACCTGAATGGTGAAAAGTGACCCACAACATGCGGACTCGCCTGAAGATTTGGCTTCTGTTCCTCCTGCCATTTTGTGGATGGATGACAACGGTTATGATGGAGCAGCGATGGGGGATACTCTCAGCTTTCCCGAAGCCGACACCAGTCAGCCATAGAGTGGCGGTGTTTCCTCGGTTTTTTACAACCAATAAGACTCTGGGGCTCCCCTACCTTCCTAGAGATGATTTATAAGCTTAGCCGAAGGATTCCAGTCCTGGGTCGTGTCCTTCATCTCTACTTCAAAGAATGGGTGGGGGTGGGAATGTTTGGAGCAGCCCTATGCTGTGGAATAGTGTTTCTCCTCTGGATGGTCTGCCAACTCAAATCCCAAAATCATAGGGACAAAGTGGTTATTGCACAAGCACTGGCTGCCCTGGAACAGGGAGCCTCTCTGATGTGTGGTTATCTATGCTGAAGCAGTAAGGTTTATGCCAACCAGCTCCTGCACCCCTAGGACAGTGGTCCATTGCACAGGGTGGAGTGCTTGGCTTAGCTAGCCCTGAAGGTTGTCGAGCTGAAGAGCATTGCACAGAGAATGGCCCTCTCTGAGAGATATGTCGCCTTGCATAAGGGTTTCCTGCCGCATATTCCCTTTCCCAGAAAAATGGCAGAGGGCAGGCCGGATAAGTTTCAGGTGTCATGAACCTAGGGGCAGATTCCGTGCAAGCCCATTATAATGTTTCTGTTCTGGGAAGTGCGACCTCTATCTTTGCCTTCTGAGGGAGTTGCCTTTCTGCAAAGTAAAAAAGGGGGAGATGTGGAGGACCGCAACCACATTCTCCATCACAAGATGGTGCTGGCATCTGGTTTCACCACCAGGTGAACAAGATAACGCATATGTGCTTGGTAACTTCCCACTGCTGTCCCTGCCTACTCCCAAGGTATCATCTGGGATAATGGGCAGCGGACCAATCCAAGAGTGACACGTCCGAAGCGAGGACTGTTTCTTATATAAGGGATGGGTTCCCCTCATTCTGGGTCTCCGCTTTGGAAGCTTATGCTCTCTCTCTCAAAACGCATTAAAGCTTTTCTGCAGAAGGATCCTAAGTGTCCCGCGTCGTTCTTGCGGGCGAGACGGTAGCGTGGGACATGGGCTTTCTCACTCTTTCTCTGAATGACCTGCTTCCCTGCCTGCTGAACCCTGTTGCTGAGCCTGCCTGCTTTCTGGAACCCTAACTCAGAAGGCATGTCTACCCCTCTCTCTCTTAGCCATTTTCCTGCTCCCAGTAGCAGCCAAGCTTTTCAGCTTGCCTGCCCTGTTGATTTTTCTCTTAAACTCTCATAGAGAAGAAAGGGGAACAGAAGAGACAGCAACAATTGGGCATGGTGGCCAGAGCTTGGGTCCCTGTGCTGGAGAGACTCACTAGCCTGATGGCCTGTCCTACATACTGAGCGACTATCTCAGAACACAAGGTGGGGAACTGGAGAGGGGGCTCAACAGTCAAAGAGCACTTGCTCTGAGTTCCATTCCCAGCACCCACTTGGTGGCTCAAATGTGCCAGGCTTTCTTGGACCACCAGCCCCCAAACCATGACACAGAGACTTACTATGAATGCTTAGCTTAGACTTATTTCTAGCTAGCTTTCTGAAACTTAAATTATGTTCATCTATGTGCATCTGAGGCTCGCTGACATCTATGGACTGTCCATCCTGCTTTCCTGCTTCCTCTGTGTCTGTCTGTCTGGTCCCTGGCTGGCTCTCCTTTTCTCTCTGCCTGTGAGCCCTGCCTATCCCTCCCCTGCCTAGCGACTGGCTGTTTAACTTTTTACTAGACCAATCAGGTGCCTTAGGCAAGCAAGGTGAAACAGCAGCACATCTTTAGTTAAACAAATATTCTGTAACACAAGTGCAACACAACTTTACATAGTTATATAAATATTCTATTCCACAACACTCAACCATCTGTAATTCCAATTCTGGGGATCCATCACCCTCCTCTGGCCTCCTTTTTCACCAAGCAGGCAAGTGGTGCAGACATACATGACAGGTAGAATACCTATTATACACATAACATGTTTAAAATAAATAATAATTTAAAACAAACAGCAAGGTGGATAGTACCTAAGGAATGACAACTGATGCTCTCCTCTGGTCTCCACATATGCACACGTGTACACAAACGTATATGTATGTGCGTATACATGAACACACCAAGGTGGTCATGAGTGGTACAGTGGGGGGATGCAAGAGTATTGTGACTGACTATGGTGGACACAAAAGAACCATGAATTATGGGAGTAATTTGGTAGGATACAAGATAGGTATGAATTCCAGAGATGGGTGGATTGTGCAGAGAGGGAGGAAGAAGTCACTGTAACTAAGGAAGTCAGTCACATGATCACAGTAGAAGCGCTGGAGACGGGCACTGCTTCTGGACGGTGGGAGGTGAAACAGGTGCAGCTAGAGGTGATGCCAGCTTTCCCCACCAGTCTGATTTGATATCCAGACACTGCTTCTTTTCCATGTTGGTTCAAGTCAGTGATGGCTAAGAGAGCTTTTACCCAACAGTGCCTTGCCTTTCCACTTTCTGGGGACTCTGTGAGCAGGCGTTGGCTCTCCAGTCAGTTCCTAGCAAGTTCAACTTGGGAGTTTCCTGTATAGGTCACTACTTCCTTCTTGCCAGCCCTGCCTGTGACATGTGTCCTGCACAGCTGCATGGAGTGAACTCTGGACTCTGTTGTGGAATATTATTTTAAGAGTGTTACATTTGTTTATGCTGTGGAACGTTTGTTTCAATGATGCAAAGACATGTTGCATTCTTTTATGTTGCATGTTTCACTGTGAAGCTGTGAATCTTTGTCTCAAACATCTGATGCTCTAATAAAGAGCTGAACTGCCAATAACGAGGCAGGAGAAAGGATAGGCGGGACCAGCAGGCAGAGAGAAGAAATAAGAGAAATGGGGAGGAGGAGGAGCAAGAGATCAAGAAGCAAGAATAGAAGGGGCCAGTCACACAGCAAGCCACGGAGTAAGGAAGGAATGAAGGATGGAAGAAAGGAAAGAAGAATAAAGGTGAAAGCCCAGAGGCAAGAGATAGATGGGATAATTTAAGAAAAGTTGGCTAGAAACAAGCCAAGATAATGCCAGGCTTATGAATAATATTTAGGAGCTGGGTGGTGGGCATCCAAACAGTAAAAAGACCAAAGAGGAAAGTTTAAGAGTAAAAGAAAATCCAACATCTCTGTTTTCCTTAGCATGACTTTCTGATGGTCACTTCCCTGTGTTCAGTGGTTCTCAGCCTTCTTGATACTATGTCCTGTTAACTCAGTTCCTCATGTTGTGGTGACCTCCCCCCGCCAACATAAGATTATTTTTTTGTTGCTACTTCAGAACTTTAATTTTACTGCTTTTATAAACCATAATGTAAAAATCTGATATGCAGGATATCTGATATCTGAAGGGATTGTGACCCACAAGCTGAGAACCACTGCTTTAATTGACCTTGCAGAGACCCTGTTAGGAGGCTTCATCCACAGTACTGTTTTAAGCTTGATTCTCCATTTGCAGGATACAGGGCTGTTTGTGGGTCATTATGCCTTTAAAAATCTTGAGTGTTTCTAGACTACTCGGTGGTCATTACACTGAGCTATATTTATACAGTATCCTCTACTTTTGTTAAGGATTGAGCATAAAGATTTACATAGTAGATGAAAAAGCAGGAACCAAACCTAGTCATTTCCACTGGGACTCTGCATATTCTTCCAAAGTGGACTCTGTTGGGGTTCATGGAAGTAGAACTCCACCCCTCAAGGCTCTGTTGGAAAAGATGGAGTCAGTTGATCAGGTGCCCTATTATATGTCATCTCTGACTCCTAAGATCTTCTTTCTAGTGTTGTCATATTTAAGATCTTCTAAACTTGGGCTGGTGAGATGGCTCAGTGGGTAAAGAATGGTGCTGGCTGCCAAGCTACATTTGATTCCTGGATCTGTATGGTGATCCCCTAGAAGTTGGGCCTATGATTTTTACACAAACACCATGGCACATGTACCCTAACATACACACAAAATAAACTTTAAAAAACTAGCAAATTGGATTCCATCTCATGAGTTGGTTTGGTGATGCTTTCAGAGCCACCTGACAACCTGCTGGCCATGACCTACAGGCTTCTAAACCCCACATCACACTGCTTACTGGACAAGGAGCCGAACACCTAAGGTAGGAAGTACCAGAATCCTTCCTCACTGGAGATCTCCTTTTAACTCACCTCACTCTCTGAGGGGATGCTGACACCTAGGTAGGGGGTAACTTCACTGTAAACATGGCCTTGTGAGGTATGGGAAAGCAGTTAGAACTGGCCGTGTGTTACTCAACAGCCAGCCCTCATTCTATAGATGTGTATTTTTGAAAATTCTTACAAAATGGATCTTACACAAAGTAGGTCGACAATAGAACTGCTTTTCCAGAAAACCAAAAGATGACAAGAGTTCTTAGTTCTTTCATGATATAGTAACACTGTCATCAGAAGTCCAAAAGGCACTGTAACGGCAATCACACACTATGAAAAGGAGGACTGGAACCAAGTGTGCTGACGCTAGCAACCAGAAATCCGAGTGGAGCCCGGGCCTGGCCGGCACTCAGCAGGTCACCACCCTGTTTATCAGTCTTGCTTCTCACTGAAGAGACCCCGAGGGACATGAAAGTGCGGTCTGCAGTTCAGCGGTCCTGTGTTAGCACTGTCGCGGTTCCTACTCCTCTCCAGAGCTGACAAAGTTCATCATTTCGGTACCCTGGAAGAATTTATTTTCTTGATATCAGCGTGGCTTAGAATCAATGTCCCATTTCTGAATTTTCCAACTTGTCCAACTTTTCCATTTGACAAAATGCTGGGAGCCGACTTCTTGGATCTCCTGTGTTGGCAGGAAGAGAAGGTGCCAGCAGTTAGAGCAAGCAGGACCACAGGCGTGGATTCCTCTTCTCGTGCAGGCCCTACCACAATGCACTGGTCTCTCGTTTCACAAGGTGCTGAACACTATCTCCACAGTGACCCTTCCTCTTTGCTCAGTTCCTGACAGATGTCACCTCCCTGAAGTGACCTCCAGCTCAACCCTCCAAGCTCGGCTGAAGCCTCTTTACAGGACTCGCTAGCACCAGACATCACCAATTTGTTTTCATAGTTGGAGGCTTCCCTCACTGCCATGCCCCTCAAGGGACAGGGCTCCCTCAGGGTGACATCACCAGGGCACCAACACTTACCTGGCATAGAATGGGAACTCAATTGACAAAGACACTGCTGTGAGAAAGGGCTACGATGAAGGGCCCAGTCTGGAGCACAGCGCCCAGGAGAGGAATCCTCACCCAAAGCTAAGACAAGTACCAGGCCCTTTCCCACCATTTCTCCATTTCACATCAAGAAGCTCCACTGTGAGTGTGGCACATTAGGCCAGCCATGCCAAGCTCAGATTCTCACGTGTCACTGCAAGTGTCTAGTCTTTGAACAGAGACGAGAGAAGGTGCTGGATTCGGTTCTGATGCAGGTGGTTGACTGGGGCAGTTTCCTAACCACCTCTTTACAGGCCCAACCAAGCAGGTAACCAGAGGACTGGGATGCTGCACTCACGCACGGGACCATAAGAACCAACCACAGACATGGTAGGGAAGCCCCGGCATCTGCGGCCACTACCCACCTGTCCTCTTGTACTTTCCTCTTCTTTCTCTTGAAAACGTCTGTGTCCCGGGCCTAAATCAACATCAAAGACAGTATACTGGTAATGGATGGTAGATATTCACAACAGGGCAGCAGGTTTGTGACGAAAGCCACATAGATGCCATTATTTTTAACATTTTCTTTTTTTTTTCAAAGATTTATTTATTATGTATACAGCATTTTGCCTGCATGTATGCCTGCACACCAGAAGAGGGCACCAGATTTTATCTGGTTGTGATATTTTATCTGGTTTATTTTAGATGGTTGTGAGCCACCATGTGGTTGCTGGGAATTGAACTCAGGACCTCTGGAAGAGCAGGCAATGCTCTTAACCTCTGAGCCATCACTCCAGCCCCCTATTTTTAACATTTTCAAATGGGTTTAGTAAGCATAAGCCAACAAGTCTTATTCTGACCCCTGTTACAGATGTGGCAGGTATCAGGATCCAGTAGCATACAGCCGTGACTCTGTACTCAGACAACAGAGGCAGTGGAGGGGAAATTCTAAGCCTGGGTTACGTACCCTGTCAGAAACCCCAAGTGTCATGACCCCTTGGGACAACCACAGTCGAGCACCAACACCTGCTGGGCACATGGTGGGCACTCAACAGACACTGTGGCAATGCTAATGACCTCTGGCCTCAAGGCCAGCCTCACTTTCTCCATGACCAGGCCAGAGGCCTCAGCTGGCATGATGAAGTCAGCTGCTATAACTGGGGGCTGGGAGGGGGCATCAGGTAATGTTGGTGTCCCTATTGCTTGGCAAGCTAAGCCGGCCAACACGCAGCCATGGGGCAGCCAGCCCCCACCTAGCAGAGTAAAGAGCAGATACCCACCAATCTCTCCTCTTCTTCAAGCGCTCTCCTTTTCTCTTTGATTTGTTGCTGTAAAACCTTGTAATTCACGTAACTTCTTTTGGGAGCCTGACAAGACAGAATAAAGACACGCCATCAGTTTTTCTCCTACAAGTAAGAAAAGGGCAGTCCTAGCGCCCCTGGGCTGCCCCTCCCCCAGGTCTGACCATGGCAGGCAGCCCCTCACCTTAGCCCCCAGCACGATGGCTCGCTCACGTTCCAGGACTCTCTCTTTTCCTTTGCCATAGCCTGTGATCCCAAAGCGGTGTACTTCCAAACGAGCCTGTTGGTGCACAACAGTCAGACCCGCATGGTGCACAACAGTCAGAACCACATGGTAAACAACAGTCAGACCCGTATGCCAACAACTCCCCAGGCAGCAGCCTCTCAGCCACGCTGTCCGCTGTCCCACAGGCGGGACGCTGCAGTGCTGCCGTGGCCGAGGAAGCACCAGCAGGCTCTTGTACCACTGCGCTCTTAGTGTTCCCTCCTTGTTTAATCCCACAGCCGAAGCAATGACTATCTCTGCATGAACTAGTGACAGTATTGGGATTCAGGCAGCACTCAGTGCTGTGACTGGATGCTCTCCACCAAGCCAGTCCAGACGGGCAGCCACTTAGCTGAAAGTGCCTCTCCAACATGCTATCCACACCTGGGAGCTGACCACGACAGGTCAAACACAACTGTTCTCTTCCTCCTGTCCTTTGGCCAGGGATCTTAGAAAGCAGCTGCACTGTGGACGTCCGTCCGTCTTTCTGACTTGCCACTGTATCACTGGCCATTGCGCTGTCTTTCTGTGCTAGTAAGTCAGGCAGTCACGTGAACATCCTGATGCTAGGTTCACCATTTCCCTAGCCTTGAGACAAGACTCTCTGCAGAAGCCTGGTGCTGTGTTAAAGCTGCCAGTTCATGACCAACAATGCAAAGCTTAAAAAGGAACTAAAAGTTACCTCAAAATGCTTACCTTTTCTAGGTTAAATTCTTGAATACCTATATCTTTTTCAAGGGCCCTTGCTTTATCCTGGAAGAAAACAAATTCTTATTAGAAACTACCAGTTAGCCAGGTGTGGCAGCACACACCTGTAATCTGAGAAGAGGCAGGGAAGTGGCTTCAAGTGTGAGGCCAGCCTGGGCTACATCATGAAACCTTATCTTGAAATAAACAACCCAACTGTGCATATATGTATAAAATAAAAATTAAAAATAAAAACCAACTCCCCTTTCCCCCAAGAAAATAAGTGTTGGTAAGGATGTCAAGAAACTGAACCCTTATAGACTGTAGGCAAAAATGCTAAAGGTTCAGCTGCTATGGACGTGAGACACTTCCTAGGAACAGTAAACACAGAGCGGGCAGAGAATCAATAGTTCTACCCTGGCAGGTACACCAGTGTTCACAGTGGCAGTGTTCACAGCGGCTAAAATACAAGGGCACCCCAGATGTCTACCAACAGATGGAAGGTTAAGTGGTTTATGTTTGGCTTCTTAAGGAGAGGCGCCTCCGGAGTGAGATGTAGTTCAGCGGCAGAGTGCTAACCTAGCAAACATGAGTCAATACCACAAAAAATAAGCCAAAGTGCAGATTTTTGATACACGCCCTATCATAGATGAAGAGGGCACTGTAATACAAGCCAATCACAGAGTACAAGAAGTGACCCCATTCCAGAAGGGGCATTGTCATTTAAGAGAGAAAGCAGAAGAGCGGAGGAAGGGGGACAGCTACAGCTCTGTAGGAGGAAAACCGGGTGGCAACAGCTGCTCACCAGTAATAAGTTATGTACCAAACTGTTATGAGTATTTCATCATAAAGAAAAGCTGGAAAAGAGTCTTGAAGCCAGCCCACCATCTAAGTACCAATTCTACATGCTGCCAAAATCTTTACAGCTTGCAGAGAAGAGGTGGAGAGCGTGCTTTTGTTTTGAAATGCTATTTATTTTATGTGTGCCTAGTTGTATGTATGTGCACTATGTGTGTACAGCAGCCTGAGGCAGTCAGGACTGGAGCTACAGATGGTTGTGAGCCATCGTGTGAATGCTGGGAACCAAATCTAGGCCCTCTGCGAGAGCAGTGGGTAAGTGCTCCTAACAGCCCAGCCGTCTCCTCAACCCCAAGAGCACGTGAACGTTTTTAAGGGAAGAGGAAACAAGAAAAAGAAACACCTGTCTTTCAGGGACCAGACAGAAAGCTTTGCTTGGCAAAGAGCTGGACAGAGCACTGATGTCTAAGCAGAGGTTTGAAACCACTGCCTTCTCATCTGCTAGGATGACAGTCCTTCGAGAAGCATTAACTTCCTGGCTATGGTGAAGTTTTGGTTCCTGACTGCTGGTGGCATTGCTGCCACAAAGGCTTTCAAGATTGTGGCTTTTAAGTCACACGTCCTGGCCATGGCTTCAGGTCTACAGGACTCTCTAGACGCTTGAGACTCTAAGGAGACTACCGTCAAAGACAAAGACATTGGCCAACAATAGTCACCATCCAATCCCATGCCATGTCTGTCAGAGCAGCAAAACAGAGTTGTAAATTCCACAAACCTCTAAAAAAGATGACGGTCCTTGTGGGGGACAATGGGACCAGCCAGAGTGGCTGCCTTGTTTTCTCAGGGCACATTTCCTGCCTGCCCAGCATAGGCTATCCAATCACAATGCAAACCTCATGCCTCCTGCTTTTCCACACAGGAGCCGAGCTCTGGGAACTTGCCTGCTGGATAGCTGACCTCCCCTGAAGCATTTTCTTCTGTGTTGTCTGGATTTAAAAAAGAAAAAAACTGCCAAGTGTAGTTGTATACATCTTTGATCCCAGTACTTGGGAGACAGAGGCAGAAGGATCTATTTAGTTCAGGGCCAGCCTGGTTCAGATAGTGAGTTTCAGGACAGCCAGGCCAGAGCTATATGGTGAGATCTTGCCTTGAAAAGTAAAACAAAACACCCCCTGCCCCACCAAAGAGAAGAAAATGTTATTGGTGGACTAAGGTGACTCAACTCTGGGGAAAGGTGCTTTCCACAAAACCTAATGACCTGAGTTTATTCCCTGAGACCAACATGGTGGAAAGAGAGAACGGGATCCTATAGGTTGTCCTCTGATTTCTACACAGATGCACCATGGTACCCACAACCTCATGCACAAACAAATAAAATGTAATAAAAAAATCTAGGTGGACAAACTTTTAAAATTATTGACATGTCCAGCTGGCCTCCAGTTAAGAGTGGGTGTGGGTAGGTAAACACTCTTTTTCTCAAACGAAGGCAGTTTTAAAAAGAATAGGGACTTCCTCCCTTTGACCAGGGTGCAGTGCCTCAACTAGATGACTCTCTTCCTGACCTCAAGAGAGCTCAGGATGAAGAGGGTGAGCTGGGCAAGCACTCTGTGGCTATTTGGCAATGAACTGGAGAGGTGTCTTTAGGTCTGCTGATCCCTCTGTGGCTCCTCCCACTGGTCTTAGCAAAGGCCACAGAACCCAAGAAATCTGTCTTCTATCTCCCAAGCAGCAGCAAAGTACATAGCCTGGAAACCTGAGAGCCTGGGATGGACCCTGGCCTGGTGCTTGCTTCAGATCTACAATCCTTCTCTGGATGATCAGGGTCAGGTTCTGTCTGCAACACTGAGAGGCACAGGACCTTCAGGTGGACTGAGAACTCATCAGCACACCCTCCATGACAGCTGAGGCGTATCTCAGAGGGAAGAGGCTTGCCTGTGTGCATGGGCCCTCCCTGTTCCATCCTTAGCACCAGGGAAATAAACCACTTTCTGTAAAAGTCATGCCAAACGGGACACAGAAGTGATTTTTGACAAGGTCTCCTGAGTAAACTGGAAGCAAGGGGACCTTGGGGGAGGATTGAAGGGGGGAGGGGAGAAGCAGGGAGGGGAGCAGAGAAAAATGTAAATATCAATTAAAAAAAAAAGAAGTGATTTTTGAAGGCCTTATAAGGTGTGTCTGCTAAATAAATTTCCACTTATCTAAAAACCAAACTGAACCCTGTCAAGCTGTGCTCACACGCTCTGAGTGGCATGCGTGGTAAGCAGTGCACGTGACTGCAGACCAGCACATCATCTCAGCAGGCACCAGGCTCCTCTGCGCAGCAAACGCTTGCAGGAATCAGGAGGAGTTAGTGAGGCAAGAAGGGGCCCGTGGATGGAACAAGCACTAGCTGTGGGGAGCGATGGCAACGGCAGAGGCAGTACTGACAGTGGAGCATGGAGAGAGGACACAGGGCCCCTTCTCTTCACCCTTCATTCCTGCTTTCTGTCCCCACCTTTTTGCTCTGAAACAGGGTCTCTTAAGTAGTCCAGGCTCCTCTTGAACTTACAGAGATCCTGAAGGTGGGACTGAAGGTGAACGCACCACGCCCTGCTTTGGTCCCTTTTTTTTAGCTAGGCCATTGAGGCACTTAAGATGCACAGAGCAGCAACAGTGGAGACTGAGCAGCCTGAGGGACGTGAGGAGGACAAGGAGGACGACTCCACTGACACTGCCCTGGGAGCCAAGTGCCACCTGAATGGCTTCAGGCTACCTGACATACTTACTGCTTAAAAGCCCACGTCCTTCCTCTCACGAAGCTGCACTCCCATTAAGAAACAGGTTCTTAGCCAGGCGGTGGGAGGCAGAGGCGGGTGGATCTCTGTGAGTTCGAGGCCAGCCTGGTCTACAAGAGCTAGTTCCAGGACAGGCTCCAAAGCTACAGAGAACACCCCACTTCAAACCCAGACTGCTGAGAGGAACCCCTCACTCACCCTGTTGGTTATAACTCACTGGCCATCCAGGGTCAGCAGCCTGCAAACAAGAAGCAGATGACCTCCTGCCTCTGCTGGGAATGCTGTCACAGCTCCCCATATACTTAGATGATGTTTGCTATGTTTTGTTCTGACTGGAAGACCTCATCATGTAGCTGAGACTGGCCTAGGACTGGCTGTGAAGCAAGGCTAGCCTGACTTCATGGTAATCTCCTGAGTTTGGGCACCATCGGTCTAAGGCATCACACCAGGCTGTCTTCATGGATTTTAGAGTATCAAATCCTACAGCTGCCTCTAAGACCTGGGAAGGGCTGGCTCCCCAGCTTCTGCACGTCATCTCATGCCACTGTCCCCTCTGTCCTACTTCTGCTAGTCTTCCAGCTCTTGGAACCAGTCAGGCGCCTTGCACCCAAGGGGGTTGGCAAGGCTGCTGGCTTCTGCTGATGTGGCTCTCCTCTTCCCCTTCCGAGGACCATTTAATACGAGCCTGACCACCCCACCCATAGTAGGCTCTGCCTGCTCCTCTCAGCACCGTTTGTTTCTGCCTTTGTAACTCTTTACCTTTATAACTTCATAACCACGGGGACAACACAGCACCCACACGTTCCACTGCTGATCTCCAGGGAGCCAGGCAGCAGGTGCACAGTGACTTGTGGAATGGAGACTCGCTGGCCTGAGCTTCCTGTGAGCGGAGCCTGTGGTCGCTGTACTAAAGCAGGGAAACCTGGGAAGAGCATTGCAGCTGGAGACAACGAAGTAGAGCAGCACTAAAACCCAAAAGCCTGAGACGATGCACAACACAGCTTCACTGAGGAATTTACGGCCTGGGTCTAAGCTCTGGACGAAAAGGTCATTTTCAGGGCTTAGGTGGGGCCAGACAGCCATGCCATTTCCAAAATTCACCACTGCCCTTTCCTTTCTCTAGTCCTCCAATTCCACGACTGTCTAATGGAAACCTGAGCACACAGGTACAGACCAGATGGTTCATTACCTTTGCGTGCTCATCTTGATCTGGTTTTGGTTTTCTTTTACTTCTGCTTTGAAACTCTACCACTTCCACGAGCCTGCTGTTGTTCTTTGGGGCAGAGAGCGACACTGCGTTAGTAGCAGGGACTTCTGCTCCTGAATGGGGAGCTGAGGGGGCAGCGGAAGCAGAGTGTAGCTCTTCTCTGAGTTCCTTGAAAAAGCTGGAAGCACTCTTCCTCTGGCCCTTTGCGAGCGATCCAGGCAGGGGGAGCAGCTCTGCTGTAGCCTCTGCTCCCATCTCCACGTCCTTCTTCTTTTCTCTCTTCTTCTTGATCCTCTTAGGCTCTGCTTCACCTTCAGTTTCTCCTGTTTGTTTCAACATAAAAAAATGTAAAAACGATTTTGGTTTTAGCTAACACCAATACCAACTGAATGTTACTGTGCATCTGGCCCAGACACAAGCACCCATCTGCACAAAGAAAGAAATAAACCGCTTGGGGTGGTTTGATCTCCAGGACCCACATGGTGGAAGCAGAGAGCTGACTCCATAAGTTGTTTCCTTATTTCAGCATGGTGCGGTGACAAACACACACCCACACAAATACATAAATAAAAGTAACTTGAAAAGTAAAAACACAACTTAAAAGATACAAATTGTTTTTCTCCAAGTAAATTGCTTTTGCACCATTTTTAGAAATCAAAACGCTGTCTTTCTTGCCTAGGTAGCTGTGCATCTCTGACTTGTAAGAAAACAATCGCCCTTGTCCTCACGCTTGCTGCTTACCTAGTGACAGCCGAGCTGTAGTTCCCAGGATTGGGACTTGCCATTTGCTATATTAAAAACACTTAGCTCTACATTAGTATTTCTTTTTATCACATTACAGGGTTACAAGTACCTGCCCCAGGCTTCCTGTTTTCTTTCCGCTATGAATTCAAGAGATTCCAGGAAAACCGCCTTAATTTAAATACCGTTACTTTCTACTAAATTTCTCATCTTGTTTGTTTCCTCTGCTTGGACGCTCAACAGAGACCTGAAATCTGAACTAGAAGTCTAGGCCTCGTTACTGACCTATGTGCACAAGAGCTCTCTAAACATCAGCTATGTATTCACTAAACGTATACTTGGAGCTGATCTGACTCTGGCAGTATGGATATAAAAATGAGTCCGGGACACTGGTGCAACTTGCAATGAATCCCAGCAGATGTGGCTATAAATCATATTGAGGATTTTAAAAATTAGTCATAAAACTAGTGAAAGTCAAGGCCAAGTCTTGTCCGTCCTCCACTCCGTGGACACAGAGAACTTACATAGGACAAGTCAATGCAGCGCAAACTATGTTATTAGTCTCTAAGCCTTTAGATCCGAGCTCTGAAAGGTAACGTTTAACAAGCTCCGTTAGCCTCTGGTGCTTGTTTCTCTGTAACTAAGGGATCAACGTAGGGATATATAAGGGTTGCTCTGACAGTTAATGGAGGAACGCACAACAGCATGTACACCTGGTACGTTTTTCCACTTTCTAAACTATTTTTTTAACCATGGAAGCGAGCTTAGAATTTTGAGCAACCGCTCCAAAGTAAATATAATACAGCGTTTGCAACGTGTTTGGTTTTAAAAGTCAGGCAATCTGCATGTGGGTTCTTCAGCCTGCGAGAGTCTGTCCTTTTGCCAAAGTGCCAGACAGCTGCCTGTCTTTAGTAACACGTTTTTATTTTTCTTTCCCACACAGCGTGAAAGAGAGTGAAAGGTCGACCAAGATGTGGGTGAGAAGGTCTCAGAGAGGGAGGCGCGCAGGGGTAAGGCCGGCCGGCATGGCGCCAGGAGATCGGGTGATCCGAGCCGGTTCCGGGTAGCCCGCGGTCCTGCCGTGTCTGGGATGCGTCCCGCTGTCCTCAGCCGCCTCCTCTCAGGAGCCAAGCTCACCCAAGTCGTAGAGGGTCCGCAGCACCTCATCCAGGAGTGTCTCAGAGCCAGGAGGCTCTGCTGAGTCCGATTCTCGCGCCGCCACCGCCGCCATGGGCATCTACACTGATCTTCAAATTCCGCCCACAAGGCGGTACTTCCGCTTCCGGCGCTCCTGAGCGTGCTCCGCGGGAGGCCCTGAGCGGCCTCCGTCCTGGCTAAGATGGCGGCGCCCGGGGTCCAGTGCGGTGGCCGTCCTAAGTGCCACCGCCCTGGGCGGCTTGGAGCCGCCCCGTTCGAAAGAACCGCCCCCAGCCGCTGCTCCACAGCCGCATAGTAGACAAGCCCAGGCCCCGCCCGGGACGGCAGCCGCACCATGGACGTTCCTAACTCTTCCAGCTCCCGCTTCTCGGTCGGCTCGGCCAGCCCCGGCGCTGTGCTCGTCTACGCGGTAGGCGCCTCGGGGGACCGAGGCCCGGGGCGACGTCTCGGGAAAGGACAGCCTCTCCTGAGCCCTGTAAACCTCCCCAACCCCCAGCCTCTGTCTTAGAGAACGGATCCTGACGCCCCTCTGTGCAGAATTTGGGTACTTAGCTTGGTATCCACAGCAACCATGTGTCTGGTTTTCTGAGTCTGGGTAAACGTGTCTGCTTTTCCAAGTTCCTGTCGATGGTGGCTTCTCTGTCCCTTTCCCCTCTCAGGCCTGGAGCCCGGCACACCAGCACGAGGGGAGACTTGGAGGCTCCGCCGTCCACCGAGGGCGGATCGGCCGACTTCTGCCGGTTGAGAAACCGGCGGGCTTACCTAGCCCGGGAAAACTTGTCTCTACACCTCCCGCCTTTTTTTTTTTTTTCCCCCTCTTTTTTTCCTGAAGTATTTTTGGGAGAAAAATATTCGGCTAGAATATGCGAGTAGAGTTTTTAACACTCTAATTTAGGATGACTTGGAGCTTCTGGGAATTACTGTCTTCTATTTTCACCCCACAAGTTGTTGGATAGGACTCCCATTGCCACTGACTTCACCCCACCTTGCCTCGACACCCCCATTGCAGAATTGCTTCCTCTTATGGTTTTAACTGGTGACTTGCTTGGTTTGGTTTCCAACAGAATGCTGGTCGCTTACAATATTCATGAGCTTACAATATTCATTATCAAGGCGGAAGCTTTGTACCCTTTCATCCCGTGAGATTGTACAGTGCTGGGGGACAATTTATTTTTATGTGTATGAGTGTTTTACCTGCATGTTTGTATGTGTCCTTGGTGGTGTCTGGAGCGGCAGAGGCCAGTTCTGGAAACCGAGTTAAAATTGTTGTGACCTGCCATGTGGGTGCTGGGGGAAAAAAATGGCTCTTAATTCTTGGAGCCATCTCTCCAGCTCCGGAGAAATTTATTTTTAATAGTTTATTTTTGAAGCAATCTTCGTGGTTTGTACTCTGGTTTGGCAGTGGCTGTGAAGCCCCAGGCTGTCCTGCACCTTGCAGTCTTCCCTGGCCTCCAGAGAGCCAGGATTGCAGGTCTACACCACCACTCTTGGCAAGTAATGCTTTAAGTCTGGTATAGTGTAGTGTTAGCTTCTGTAGAAATGTCAAAAGTGAGAAGAAAAAAAAAAAACATGTCAGAGCAAAGCAAACAAACTTCCGTTTCTAGAAGAATGTTGCTACCTTAAGAGCAGGGTATCTTTTGGAATGTGGGCAGACTTCTTTCACTGTCTCTTAAGCTTACATTTGGGGCTGGAGAGATGGCTTAGGGGTTTTGAGCACTGGCTGCTCCTGTAAAGGACACAGGTTCAATTCCCAGCATCCACACGGCAGCTCACAACTGTCTATAACTCCAAGATCTTACATCCTCACACAGACATACGTGCAGGCAAAACACCAGTACACACAAAAATAAATCTTTTTTTTTTTTTAAAGAACTTTACCTTTATGTTTGCTGTGAACTGTTGCCTTAAAGCTTATGGTTGGAGCCCCTGTCGTTGACTTCACCACACCGTTCTCTGGTGGGAAACCCATCACCGTTTTACAGCTTGTTATTCCAAAGCAGGCGTGTTGGGAAAGGGGATTGTTGTGTAGATCCAACTCAAGACGTTTCTGGGCCTTTCAATGTGTTTGTGTGGGGGCTAGGATTTCCCTTGCATGTCAATAAAAAGGAGTTGGTTCTTACTTCATCTATATATTTTTTTAATCATGAGATTTTTGTCAACCTTCCGTGTGAGTAATAAGGCAGCTGGCCATGAGTGTCCCCCGCCCCTTTCCCTTTGGTGCCACCACTGCCTGGCTCAGTCGCCTCCTCGCTGATGTTGTGCCCGCACAGATGATGACCATGAGAGCCTCCTTCAGACTGCCAGCTTCATCCACCACCCTGTTCATTGTGCACCGCTTTCTGTCTACTCAGTAGTTCTGTAGTGACGTCACAATAGTGCTAATGATTCAAGCATCAGCAGTGCCCCTCGTCCCCCAGTTGCTGTTCTCAGTGCCAAAGACTGCCTGGCCTCTCAGGATACCCAAAGTGGTCAGTGTGCTCAGGTAGTCCAGTTAAGTGGGATAAATAAAGGGTAGTGATTAAAGCATGCATTGGATGTTGTTGGAGTCAAGAGAAGGGGCAGCTGGTTTATTTGGGGACTTGAGAAGGTATCTAAAAACAACACCAAAACTGAGTTTCTGTAGCATGAATCCTGGGAGGTGGGAACCGCTGAAGTAACAATGTAATGTGTGGGGAGACTGAATGCAGAATGATGAAGAAAACATAAGACAAAATTAAGAACATAAGCAAAAGGTGTTTCCGAAAAGAAACAAATAGTATCTTGGGTATTCTAGTATCAATAGGTGTTTCCTAAAAGAAACAAAGCATTATCTTGGGTGTTCTGGGTCTCTTTTATCAAGGATTAAATCTTCTCTCTGTGTTTATGCTCTAGAAAGTCTAAGAAAACCATTAGGCTCTGGCGTGATTATCTGCATTAGCAATATCTTTCTCTCTGAAGATTATAAGAAGGAAGAAACTCAGGGTGGGGTAGATGTGTGATTCAAAAGCGTGGAGATCAGTTAGGACAAACGGCCAATGCAGGTGAGGAGGTGAAGCCCAGTGAGGCTGGGAAGCACAGAGCATGATGGTTTTATGTGAATCTTTGGGCAGGAGATCCTTGGCCCTGAGAACCAGTTGTGTCTAGGACCTGAGGAAAGAGGGGGCAGTCTGAAGTAGGCTGTTAGGTTCCTGTGGTTTGGCAACTGGGCAGAGGCTGATCTCTCAGAGATAAGAAGGACAGGGGAGGAGCAGGTTTAGTCAGGTACAGAGCAGTTTCGGTCTGGGATGCAAACTTGTCAGCTGTGGATTACCATGATCTGGACCAGATACATCCTAAATGCTTGGGAGGCATCTGAATAGAGTTAGGAGTGTGGTACCCAAGCAAAAGAGGAGGGTGGGACTGAGAATGTGTGTTTGGCAAGTCAGGGGCAGGTAGGCTGTATCCGAAGCTAGAAGTGCACTATTCCTCTGAGACTTTGTGTGTGTGAGAGTTCCAATGTAGGGTTCATGCTTAGGGTATCTCAACTCAGACTCCAAATGATCTGCTAGTTGCTCCTGCTCTGGTTTTTTACCAGTCTAGTCCTGCTTACTGGACCTCACCACCCTGACTTTGTATTTCTCAGGAAGGAAGTGTGTTGTCTCTTCAAAATGCTCATGGTCCCTTCTGTGTGGCAGAACTTTGAATTGCTGGCTCTTTTTAATACCAAAGACCCAAGTCACACATTTCATCAACCACTCAGTATAAAGTACTTCCTCGTTAACACTTGTTTTGTCTTCTGAACTCATTCAGTGGTGGGTCACAGCAGTCCTTGTACTAGCTGGCCAGAACTGATGGTTAAACATTCATGGCATTTGTAAGCCCAATGGTAAAATGTAGCCGTTATTGAAAACTGAGGATTAAGTCACATAAATTTATACTTAAATACATTTTATACAAAATAAAAATAAGTATTACCAACAGCATTTCCCAGTTACTTACTAAACATTACTGTTCTCTCTGTTTGGAAGTTGTCCTCTTAGGGGCAGGTGGCACACACTCTTGTGTCTTCTCATGCTGCTGTGCCTTTTGGTTATTCTAGTGTGATCTGGCTCGGTGGAGTAGAGTGCCACAGAGTGCCAAAGCCTGGGCTCCAGCGTAGGTCACTGACAGCATCCTGCCTGCCAGTGGACTCAATTAGTGACCTGATCTTGTTGGTTTGTGCGGAAGGGCATGCTTTTCTCTGGAGAGTGTCTGCTTGCCCTGTTACTGCTGGATTCCAGTCTGTAGCAAGAGGCCTGGTGTACAGAGAACTCTTGGGCCTCTTGTTGAAGGAAAGCAGTGGAGAGGGAGGCTGTGGGAGGGCCTAAGATGCAACCTGAGGTGGGGACATGCTTCAGCCTGACCTTCCTATTGGACTCTCACTTGCACTGTGTTCTTGGGTGAGAAGCCATTCGAATGTGCTTACTTGCTGACAGTAAGTGCTGCTCCTGCATGCTGCAATCCTTTGCACTGGAGGGGCAGGTGGTGGGGATCATGCGCTCCTGGGATGGTAAAAAGGCATGGGCTTAGCTTTACAGGAACTAGAGAATGATGGGGGTTGAGGGGTAGTGGTTGCCAAACCTACTTGTCAAGCTTTCTCAAAATATATATGCCCTCATTGTATTCCCTGCTGATAATGATGCTGTCCTCGTTCTACCCCTAAGGACACTAATGGGAAGTTTCTAAGCTCTCCCTTGCCCTTACCTTATATAACAGTAGTTTGTTGAGTCCCAGTTTGAATTGTTACTTTATTCATGAGAATTGTAAAGTTCAAGAAGGTTTTCCAGCCTTATGAGCAAAAGCCTATGATGTGTTAGGATGACTGTAATTGGCAGCATGGCCAGATGCTAATGACGTGTGCTGCCTTTGGGTTAATTGTTAACATTCATAGATATGCAGGTATGGTGTGTGAGCACATGTGTATTAGATGTGAATAGCAGGCAGAGAAGGTCCTGAGCAAGGTGTGAGTGACTGTATAGAGAGTTCTTGAGAGCATCTCAGAGGGCTGATGCTGCAGTAGGTACAGCAGAGCTGCAGGACCATCCACAGATGCCCAGAAGGATGCCAGCAAGTCCTCTCGTGGCATCACTGCACACTTACACCAGGGCATAATCTGTAAGCAAACTGGTTTCAGTGAACAAAATAGATCTTATCTGATTGTGGAAGTGACTGGCTTTATTCTGTTTGCTTTTTTGGGACAGGGTTTCTCTGTGTAACTTTGGAGACTATCCTGGCACTCACTCTGTAGACCAGGATGGCCTTGCACTCACAGCAATCCACCTGCCTCTGCCTCCCAAGAACCCTGGGATTAAAGGCGTGTGCCACCACCACCCGGCTTGACTGGTCTTATTCTGAGGAACTCACTTAAGTATTTTAAAACATGAGGAATAACCTGTATTTTGAAAAGCTTGCAATTCGCTGGCAGAAGGATTGACTTGCTACATTTAGGCAAGGAGGCTACTGAGATTATGAGTGTAGGCTGCTGGGTAGCGTAGCTGAGGGTAGGGTCTGTACATTTTCAAAGGCCACAATAGCAGAGTTGGGTGGAATGATGCCCAGAGGTTAGCTGAGATGGCGGTTAACAGTTATGGTTTCAGGAAAGTGATGATGGCTTAGAGCCGAGCCCACAAGGGGATGGGTTTTGGAGAAGTGTTGGGAATCCAGAATGTATGATGGGAGAAGAGAATCAGGTGCAAGATTTGGGAAGCACATGGAATTTGTGTTTTAAGCTTGCTGCAGGGCCATGAAAGTGATCAGTGGTAGAGCATTTGCCTAGTGTGTATGCTAAAAACCCTGGGTTTCATCTGTTGCCGCCCCCCCCCCCCAATGAGACGAAAGGAGAGGAAACAAAGCAACAGCAACAAAAATCCACCAGCAACAAAGTCCAGTGGAATAGGTGAGTGTGCCCAGCAGTTGTGGGAGGCTGGAGACAAGGACTGGAGGGAAGCTATTGACCCTGTGAGGAAGAAAAAATAATTTGTAGTTTTGAGGGGGATCACTCCCCCAGGTTAAAAGCCACTGCACTGGAGGAAGGCCGTGAATTATTCTACTGTTGATGAGAGAGCCCTGGATTAAATACCAACGTGGGGACATTTCCCTGGAGGTCAGGAAAGAAGACTAGGAGATACTGGCCCAGCCAAAGCAAAGACTCACCCTAAAAATGCCGTGGTTGTCTTTAAGAGCAGTTGTGCCTTTTCATATAATTCCAGAGAGTGAGATACAGCCTGAGTGCGCCACATTAAGATTATAACACTAAAACAGAGGAAGACAGAAATAATGGAAACATTTTAATGGCAAGGGGGTGTTTATGACATATAAAAAAATCAAGTTGACAGTCTCAGTGTGTATCTGATGGGAGAGAAATGTCCCTGTGCTTAGGAACAAGCATTCCTTAGAGGAGTCTCACACTAGGGGATTGCACATAAAGTTTGATATTTTTGTTGTTTGCACTTTCCCTGCATTTTTTGAATTTTTCAAGTGAGCACAAGTCACTTTGGTAGTTCAAAAGCTGAAGCTATTATTAAACATGGTAATTATGTAACAACTAAGATGTTTTAAATCAGTATTTGCTATGGGGATACAAATAAAAAAAAGTAATTTTTTTTTTTTGGTGACTTTTAGAGACAGGGTTTCTCTGTAACTTTGAGTTTCTCTCAAGCCTATCCTGGAACTAGCTCTTGTAGACCAGGCTGGCTTTGAACTCACAGGGGTCCACCTGCCTTTGCCTCCCAAGTGCTGGGGTTAAAGGCGTGAGCCACCACCGCTACCTGGCAGAAGAAAGGTAAATTATAACTGGCATGGCCCCTGTTTTGAATAAGATGTACACATATTTCTGTAGGTATAACTAAACAAAATAAGGCAACTACTTCTGGCTATAGTGCTGGAAGTGCTTCATGTTGCCGTAAACGAGGATAGCAGTCGGTGTAAGGAACCACAGATGCCAAGTATGTCTCTGTTGTTTGAAAGCTAAGGGCCTCCCAGGAGGCGGGTGACCCGGAGCTTTGGTTTCCTATGGACTGGGGAAGACAGCTGCTCAGAGGTTGGAATGGAGATTGTTCTTGAGCATGTCAGGCTCTCAGAATAGCGCTGGCACCAGCAACTGGCAGCGTTCACTGCAATCATTATTGTTACCACTACTCTTGACTTGATCAGGAAAGCACCGTTCTAGGAGCACCCTGGACTCCGAAGCGCGTGCGAGGGCTTGGTGGATGGAGACCAACCGGGCCCACAGGAACTGAGTGCAGGTGATGAGTCACAACAGACTGCTTCTAGGACATAGTTTCCCACTTCTGGAAGACAAGGACTGTAGAGGCTTGCACCACCACATCCAACTTAGTTTGAGACTTCTTTTGTTGTTGTTGTTTGTTTTTTGAGACAGGGTTTCTCTGTGTAACTAATAGCTCTGGCTGTCCTTGAACTAGCTCTTGTAGACCAGGCTGGCCTTGAACTCACAAAGGTCAGCTTGTCTCTGCCTCCCCAGTGCTGGGATTAAAGTGTGCCACCACTGCCAGGCTTTGAGGCTTCTGATACATGTTTTGATTTTTTTTTTTTTTTGAAGCTAAGTAGAGGCAGACAAAACAGGTTTGTCAATGTGGTACTGTGTTTACAAAGATAGCCATCAGAATATGTTGGTCAGTAGGCCGAAGTGGCAGAGTGCTTGTAAACCATGAAAAAGGCCTGAGGTATGGTTCTTGGTCCACAAAACAAAACCACAGGTTCCCATTCCTACTGGCTTAGAGTTATAATCCCAGCGTTTGGGAAGTGGAGATGAAGATTAGGAGTTCAAGGTTGTTTTTGGCTACATAGAGAGTTTGAGGCCAGCTGGGACTACATAAAGCCCTGAATACAGTAACTAATAATGATTTGAGGTCACATAAAACTAATAATAATAAATAGTAATAGTTGAGTATCAGCTTATTGATCATGTTATTGACGGTTTTTTCTATGTCTAGGACTCTAATATTAGAATACTTTCGCTTGGGTGTCGTGAGATAAACATTTGGGTGGAGGGAAACCTGAGTAATCTGTCCTTTCCCCATAGGTGCTCCTCACTTTCTTTCCTTTCCTTCTTCACAGAAAGAGCTCAAAAAGTGGGATGAGTTTGAAGATATCTTAGAGGAGAGGAGGCATGCCAGTGATTTGAAATTTGCCATGAAGTGCTACACACCCACCTTGTATAGGGGAGTCACCCCCTGCAAGCCAAGTGATATCAAGTCCATTGTTCTCAATTCTGAAGAGATGCATTATGTCTTTAAGCAGGTAAGAACATCGTTCTTCAGGCACAACCAGCCTCCTCCGCTGGAAGTGGTTCCTGCTTGTTTCCCTGAACTTATTTTATTATCTCAAATACACTTTTAGGTTTAGCTCCATGACACTCAAATGTATGGTGTCATTTTGTTAAGACTGGAAGGCCAGCGGGAGGAGCATGGCATCCAGAGCTTAGTAAAATACGAGACACAACTTACTGGCGAAGAGCCCACAATTTGAGGTGCTAATTAGTTATGAGCAAAGCTAGTTTGGTGTATGGAGTAGGGAAGGTTTCGTTTTTTAACACTTACGGACAGAAGCTCCAGGTCTTCCTAGTGAAGGAAGGGGTGGAGAGAGTTCTCAGTTGAACAGATCACAGCAGCTCTCCACGTGAAAATGTCCTGAGAAGCTCTGAGGACTGCCATGCCTGGCTTCACCTGTGTCAGTTGCTTCAATATGTTGGGTTCGGGATCCTGTAGCAGTAGCTTTTCAAGAAGCTCATGCTTTGGAAGCCATGGCTTGTTTTCAGAACAGGAGGTCCAAGAGAATGCTGAAAGTGGTTCAGTCTGACAGTGGAGGCAGAAAGGGTGGGAAATGCAGCGAGCTCCAGGGGTGAGTGGGCTCGACAGGGGCTTGGAAGCCACGGGGAAGGACTAGCTATTGTCTCCACGGCGCCATGCCTTTAGATGGAGTGTGCTGTGCAGATTGGGTGCAGAAGTACTGTTCTGGTTTAACTTTAGATGTGTACTTTGACCCATACCCTTAATCCCTGTGCTTTGCTTTCCTCTAACATCACAGAGATGCTATCAGCTCTCTGTGGTCAGGCCTATTCCATGATGGAAGACAAGTTTCCCCTTTAGTTAGCACTCAGGAACGGGACTGTAGAGTATCCAAGGCATTTTTTGCAATACGTTAACTCCAGTCAGTGATGGCTGTGTTCTCAAATATGCATCATCCTGTGGCAACACCACAGGATTCTTCCATGACACTTGGGAGCACAGTCTGCATGTGCCTCGGTTAGGTAGTATGCATATATGGTGGAGCCTATTGCTTCTTGATCTGTTGAATAAAACACAAGATTAAATCAGCAAGAAAGAAAGTAATTCTGTCTGTCCTGATTAAATATTTGATGCCTGAGTATGTTCCTAGGAAAGCAGCATACTGCTGCTTGTGTTGTTTTGATTTGTTTTCTCTGCCGTGCTAGGAATGGAACCCAGGACTCCTCACACGGTAGAGTAGGCAAATGCCCTACACCTGAGCAGCATCCCCAGTCCCATGCATGCAATTTTTTTTTTTTAACGTGCATGGGAAGAGACTTTGAGACAGAGTCTCATGTAGCTCAGATTGATCTTTAGTCCTCTTGTTTCAGCCTCCTCTGTGCTGAGATTCCAGGTATGCATCACCACCCTGACTTAAAACAACTTTCCTTCACATGTAGGTGGGTGTAGCTTAATACTAGTGTACATAGTAACTTTTTTTTTTGCAGAGTAAGGTTGGATATGTATTTAGTGGGTTATGGAAGGGAAGGGGAGGAGAGAGAAGAGCAGAGAGAGGGAGAAAGAGAAAGAAACAGAAAGGGGAAAGGGGTATAGTAACTCTTTTAAGTGTACTTATATAGTACACATATATAAGTAGGTGTGTGCTTGAATGATAAATAATATACTATAGTAAGTACATATGCCAGTAGCATGGTTATTTATCATAAAGCATTGCATGCTAGGCATAATTATTGGGGTTGTGTTTTTATAGACTGGTGGTTCTGTGGGTTGCCACACACTTGAATAATATTAGCTATGACTCCATGGGAGCTGTGGTGGCACTGGGTGATGGGAAGTTTTCAGCGCATTGCAGTCTTACAGAATTGTTCGCATAGGTACCTGTGGTTAGTCACTGACCCCAGTCCTCTTCAGTATGTGACGCCTGGCTTCTGTAATTCAGTAAACCTCTGTGAACTGGTGAGTGAAGGAGCATGCCTTGGCCCGTTCACAGAGCTCACAGAGACGGACGCAGCAAGGCTGGGACATGGCCCGGCTCTTCTCAACTATTACTCGTTCTCTTCTGTCTACCCCATCCTCCTCCCCTTCCTGATTTCAGACTCCAAAAGTAAGCCCTCCACTTTTTGTTGTTCTTTTTCCCTTGATTGGTTGGTTTCATTTATGAGCCAGTTTTTCAAGCTTGCTTGGAACTCATTTTGTAGCTCAGGTTGGCCTCAAGCTCTTTTGCTTTCAACTCCTAGTTAAAGGAATGTGGGATTTGAATGATGCTCCTGGCCCAGGAAAGCAATTGTTTTTGTTTGTGTGTTTGTGTTACTTTGGTTTGCATTGTTTTTTTTTTCCTTGAACTTTCACCTCCCTATTATCATTCACACCTTTATGTTACTCTGGCTTCTTTCTTCTCCTCTTCTCTGCCTCCTGTTTATTTCATCCTTAGGTGACTTTGGTTAGTGTTAGACTGTTTGCTGAGTCACAGTTTGAGATAACTGTTGAGTTAAGTGAAGGAGCATTGTAAGAGGTGATAGTTAGCCAGCACTTCCTTCCTGGACTGTAAAATGAGGACAGATAAGGAGTAGATAAGGGATGTGGCAACACTGTTCTCCCTTGGGAGTGTGTGTGTGTGTGTATATGTACACGTGTGTACACATGTGTGTGCATGTACAGGCCAGAGGAGGTCTACCTTGGTTGCCATTTCTCAGGAGCCATGTGGATTCTCTTCGAATTTGTAGCCTTTAAACCTGCTTAAATAGAATCATTTTTCACTGAACACAGTGGTGTACCCCTCTGGTCCTGGCAGTCAGTAGGCGGAGGTGGGAGGATAATGAGTTCAAGGCCAGCCTATGCTTTGTGAGAAACTTTGCCTAAAGCAGGAAAAAAGAATAATAGAACATCACTTATCTACTGTGTGAGTGAGTTGGGTCAGATCTAATCAAGAGCACACACTGTCTTCTGAGTTAGTCATGGGCCCCATTGGAATTAATCACATTTGTTTGAGTGAAAGGAGCTCTGGTTTCTGTTTTTCAGAATTCACCCTGCTCTGCCTTCCTTTCAGCTCTCCAGGGAGTCCCTCACGTCTGCCGATGCCCTCCGAGAGGAAGCCAGGGAGATCCTGGAGGAAATGAGCCACAGACTGCGCATGGGAGCCATCCGCTTCTTTGCCTTTGTCCTGAGCAAAATCTTTAAACAGATTTTCTCAAAGGTGTGTGTGAATGAAGAAGGCATTCAAAAGGTGAGGATTGCTGATACAGATATTCTTGTCCTCATCCTGTGCTATCATCGATTTTGAGACATCCCACTCGGACTGAATGCTGAGGGCGGGTTGTCAGACATCCGCTGTGGGGCCAGGGGCATGCTGTCTGCAGCTTGTCCTTTTAATGTCAGACGTACAGACTCCAACTTAGTCAAGTAAGACTTGTAGACCACTTGAGTGTCACATGTTCATGGGTTACAGTAGTATGGAAGGAATCTTTGTCTGTGCTCGCTCAGATTCCTCTTCCGCATTTCCATTATCATCTTTACTATACTGTGTGATTTTCCCATGCACAGATGTTCTCAGGATATTGTGGTCAAGGTCAATTAACTTGGTTAGAGCACACGTGGTTATATGAGCTTACTGCCAGCTCATCACTTGCCCCAGTTATATTCTGTGTTGCTTCCCTGCTTCCTTAGATATCTTTATTTATTTGACTTATTTATTGATAGGATGTCTAGCTCATACTGACCTTGAACTCCCCATGTAGCCAAGGATGACCTTGAATTTCTGATCCTTCTGCCTTCATTTCCCAGATATCCCTAATGCTGAGCTAACAAGCAGGCACTACCTCTGCCTCTCAGGTTCTAGGATTGCAGGTGTGAGCCACCATGCTCAGCCATGATTTACCTTTCTGTTTTCTGATTTAAGCTGCTATTTTAGTGACGTGACAACTGAAATTCTTAAAAATCTGACATTTTTTTCAAGCTACAACGAGCTGTCCTGGAGCACCCTGTAGTCCTGCTGCCCAGTCATCGGAGCTACATTGACTTCCTCATGCTGTCTTTTGTTCTGTACAACTATGATCTGCCTGTGCCAGTTATTGCAGCGGGAATGGGTGCGTGCATAGTCTTCATCCGTGTTTAAACTGTCCATCTTACCGTCCATTAGAATGGTAGTAAGAGTACTAAAGAATGTGAAGGGTACCAGCAACAGCTTTTCTGGGTGCCAGTCTCCCGTGGTGTGGTGGCCCAGTCTGGACCCTGTACTGTGCAGTCCTGTGACTGAGAGGCATCTGTGCACATAGGATTCTTTGGCTTAGTTTTGAGAAGAGAAGCTATTCCACTTTGTCATATTTCCTGCTTTTTAACATTTTGGTAATATATAGTTCTAGTGATCATCCTAGATCACAAATAGATACATTTTTAAAAAAAGTATCAGTTTTGGTAAAATGCATATAACATGAAGTCCTGACTTGTCTAAGTGTGCAATGTAAGAGGTACTGAGTGCGTTCATATTGTTGCGGTTGTGTTGTTCCCGTCTGCCCCAGAACCCTTCACATCTTGCAGAACCGACACTTACTAACCAGTGACTGTGTTTACTTTTCTCCTCCCAGAGGCAGCCACTGTTCTACCCCTGCCCCTGCAGCCACACACTCTGCATACTTCATACACTCAATTGCAGTATACACCCTCCTGTGACTGACCGATCTCATTTAGCATGATGACCTCGTCCGTTGTATGGACGTGCCACATTAATTTTGTCCTGTAACCTGTCCGTGGACACTTTATTTGCTTCTGTCACTTGGTTGTTTCAGGAAACACTGTGTCTTAGTTAGGCTTACTATTGCTGTGATGAAACAAAAACAAGCTGGGGAAGAAATGGTTTATTTTGTTCACACTTCCATGTAGTAGTTCATTATAAAAAGCTCTGAGGGAAGGAACTCAAACAAGGGCGGGAACCTGGTGGCAGGAGCTGATGGAGGGGTGCTGCTTACTGGCTTTCTCCTCTGTCTTTGCTCAGCCTGCTTTTATAGAGAAATCAGGACTGTTGAAATAACCAGGTAGCTAAAGGATACAACAATTATATTTTATTTATTATAAAGAAAAACTCAGAAACAGGAAACAAAACGCAGTGTCCCGCGGGCGGGGATGGTGGAGAGAGAGAGAGAGCGCGCGAGAGAGCACATGCGCGCTTGGGCAATGCACAGATTTTTTTCTCAAGTCCCAGAAAACCACGCCTTACCTGGGCTCCACCTCTTAAAGATAATTGGCTAACAAGGTTTTCCCCGTCATAGGACCCACCAGCCCACAATGGACCAGGCCTTCCCACATTAATAACTAATTAAGAAAATGCCCTACAACTGAACCTTTTGGAGGCATTTTCTCATTTGAGGTTCCTTCCTTCCTTTCAGATGGTTCTAGCTGTGTCAAACCAGCTAGGACACACTGCTGTGAATGTGGGATTTAAAAATACTTATTTTTATATTTTGCCGCTGGGACTAGAACCTAAGACTTCAGGCATGCTAGGCAAGCCCCCTACTGTGAATGCTGTTTCAGCAACTGCTATGAACATGGGATATGTGTTTCAGTTAGGTCTTCTAAGCTGTGATAAACACCGTGATCATAAACAACTTGGGGAGGACAGGGTTTATTCTGCTTATGCTTCTGCAGTCCGTCACTGTGAGGAGTAGCAGTAGAGAGCACATCAAAGCCATAGCAAACCATGCCACATCCACGGAGAAGCCAGGGAGCTGCTGCAGAGGCCTTGGAGGGGTGCTGCTCCCTCAATAGAACCCATGACCACCAACCCTGGGGTAGCACTGTCCACTGTGCGTTGGGCCCTCCCACATAAATTGTTAATCAAGAAAATGGCCTACAGACTTGCACACAGCAATCTTATGGGAACGGTTTTTCAATTCAGAGTTCTCTTCCCAGAAAACTCTAGCTTCTGTCAAGTGGACAGAAGACAACTGAACAGTACAAATATCTGGTCCCTCAGTCAGTACATCGCTGGGTCATGTGGGAGCTTTTTTGAGTCCCACTGTACTGTTTTCTCCTGTATGTGTTCTAGCAGTAGTGCACAGAAGTGAGATCCATGTCTCCCCCAGTACTCGCCATGCACAAGCTTTTGTTTCTTCAGGAGTCACCATCTCCATGGGTGTGGCATGATTCCTTTCTCAGTGATGCTGAGTTCCCATTCATGTACTTTCAACCACCACTGGGGTGTTTTATTTTAGGAGGGTTGTTTGAATTTTGAGATGGGATCTATTTTGCCCTGACTGGTTTTGCATTTCTCAGCTCTAGTGATTCTTCTGCCTCAGCTTTCCAGATGCTAGGTGCATCTGGTCCCTATGGAGATGTCTTTTAGGTTGTTACCTTTTTGTCAGTGAACTGTGGGAGTCCTTTGTGTCCTGAACACTTGCCCATAGATACAGGATTGGCCAGCTCATCTCCATTCAGTGGTCCCTCTGCCATCCTGCTGACTGTGTCCTTTGAGGCACAAAAGTTGTGTTTCAATAGAGTCCAATGAATCTGTTTGTTCGTTTGTCCCCTGGGTATTTAGTGTCAACCAAGAAGTCATTACCAAATTCAGTGTCATGAAATTTTTCTGATACCCAACTGAGAGTTTTATAGTTTGGTACCTCCACTTGGTTCTTTGAGCCACGTGGTTGATTTTTGTACAGATACAGAGTTCATGTCTCATATAACTGACACTGTGGTTGTGTACTGGATAAGCGCTGTCACTCTAAGCCACACTGCTCTGTAGATGTATGTCCATGCTTTTATAGGACTCATCTGTTGAATCTGTACTGCACTGGTTCCTTTTCACAGTCTCTAGGAAAGTAGGGATTCCAGTGTTAATAAATGTAGTGAATCAGTCAGGTTAAAGCTGTGGGGACTTGCATGCCTTAAAAAGTGCTTTCTTCTCAGCAGACAGTGAGGAAGTGATTTGAAAACTATTTAAACTATTGAAGGACCCTTGCCTTTTTGTAGACCTGCTTTGTAAGCCATTTCCTTAAAAGTAGGTTGATATTTTCACTTGGTAGTGGAGAGCTGGGAGTAGGTGTCCCAGTGCTCCAGAGTATGCAAGCACATGCCACTCACCAGTTTCAGAACATGGCCGCAGATACTGGCCTTATGACTTTGTTGTCATGCTGCTGTCGATAGCATGGTAACAAGAGAGGTCCGAGATAACTGCCCAGCAGACTTCTGGCTCACAGTCCCTCACATAATCCTACTAGATGGCCTTTGTTTTCATTTTTATTTTTGTGTGTATGTGTACATGTGTGAGGATACACATGCATATATGTGCTCGTGAGTGCATGTAGGAACATGTATAAGCATGTGGGGGAGGGTGCAGAGGTCGCCATTGGAATGTGGGGAATGTAGGCCAGAGGTTGACATTGAGTGTCTTCTTCTATTGGTAACCTTATTTTTAGAGTCAGGGTTTCACTGAACCTGGAACGCACTGATTCGGCTAGACCGACTGGCCAGTTAGTTGTAGAGATCCTTGTCACTGCCTCCTTACCCAGCACTGGAGTGTGGTGTATGCTGCCATGCTCTGCTTGGTACACCCGTGCTGGGATCCGTGCAAGTCCTCAGTGCTTGCAGGGCTTTCCACTGAGCCATCTCCCCAGCACCTTTCTGCTCCTTTTCTGGAGTTATCTCACAGGTGTAACTAGTGCTGTCGCGGGGCTCATGCCTTGTTATGAACTTCTCAACGGTGTTTACATCTAGATCTTTGTTCCCATCTTACCTCTTCCTCGTGTTTTAGATTTCCTGGGAATGAAATTGGTCGGTGAGCTACTCAGAATGTCTGGGGCCTTCTTCATGCGGCGCACCTTTGGTGGAAATAAGCTGTACTGGGCTGTGTTCTCCGAATATGTGAAGACCATGCTGCGGGTAAATGCAGGCACTCAGGGACCTGACGCTGCAAAGCTGTCTGGCTCTTTACTTCTGAATAGATCCCTAGCTGTCTCTCCCCTTCAAGGAGCACACCCACTCCCAGTGGTCCCTCATCTGAGAGACGGCCTTGTTTAAGTTGCTGTGAGCAGGTGTTTGTTTAAAGGGCAGAGGGCACTTGGGGTCAGGCATCAGAAGAAGCTCTTTCTTAGGCTGGGATGTGGTTTAGTGGCATGAGAGGTTGTAGGTTCAGTCCCAGAGCACACATGGGTGGGAGCGGGGCAGGACACAAAGGAGGCCTGTGTTATTTTGAGAGTAGACAATGGGTTGTGTATCTGTTGTGTTCTCTTTTAAAGAATGGTTATGCTCCTGTTGAATTTTTCCTCGAAGGGACAAGGAGTCGCTCAGCCAAGACCTTGACTCCTAAATTTGGTAGGTCCCTTATATACTAGAAGCATATTAACCCCAGACCTCAGATGTGGTGTCACTGTAACTACCAAATAGAACTAGATGCTTCTTTGACAAGATACTGTTTTCTTTTTAAATAGAGCTGTTTACTTAAGTTTAGCTGGTTTTGGACTTTGAATGTCTTTTTTGTTCTGGCTGGGAATGGGATGGGGCAGAAGCATAGAGAATCAAAGCACTGGGTACATATAGCAAGAGCAGACCCTGCTGTCATCACTGAGGGAGTTTGGGGACTCGCTTGGAAACGTGGATTGTGGTTGTAATCTTCATATGTATACATATATGGTTTGATTTGTTTCTCACTGAGTAGCCCATGCTGGCCTGGAACTCACTGTGTAGCTTCAGCTGACCTCAGATTTGCTGCCATCCTCCTGCCTCAGCTTCCTGTGTGCTGAGATGAGTGTGAACTGCCATGCCCAGTGTCTGTTTGTCTGTGGTGAGTTAGTGCGAGTGTGATTTTGGAAGGCTAGCTATGTATGTTGCTGGTCTGACTTCCTGAATGGATTATTTCTCCTTTCACTGTGGGATCAGTAACAAGACTGAGCACCAGCTGGGCAATGACAGATTTTATTCTTGTCCAAGAATGGGAGATGTTGGAGACAGGTTTAGAATTCACCTTCTAAATCCTGCGGGTGGAGGCTATAGGTCCAGTGCAGAAGGAAGGAGGGAGGCTGATGTATTGTGTGTGAGTCTTGTGTGCCCTGCTCTTCACTATCACGGTATAGTATTTCTCACTGTGTTCACAGGTCTTCTGAATATTGTGATGGAACCATTTTTTAAAAGAGAAGTTTTTGATACCTACTTTGTTCCCATTAGCATCAGTTATGATAAAATATTGGAAGAAACTCTGTATGCCTATGAGCTCCTAGGAATTCCTAAGCCAAAGGAATCCACCACTGTAAGTGAGGCTAGGCAACTTGGTTTTCTTTGAGAATACCCTGGCTTACACATCCGCTTGTTTATAAATGTGCTTCTGTTTTCTTTCTCCCTCTTGTGATGCCACCAGGGGTTGTTGAAAGCTAGACGGATTCTCTCTGAGAACTTTGGAAACATCCATGTATACTTTGGAGACCCTGTGTCCCTGCGCTCTCTAGCTGCAGGACGGCTCAATCGGAACACGTATAACTTGGTGCCAAGGTGCAAGGCCTGTGTTTTAATACGTGACACAGAAATGAGATGGAAAATCCACAAGTGTGAATCGGGATTCTTGAGTTGACAGCCTCTGAGACCAAACCTTGGCTTACCTGAGCTCTGCTAGCAAATTGCTAGGGAAGCTCTGGCATTACATGTTCATCAGTGGAACACTTCAGTTAAAGAACCTCATGTTTGAAGCCAGCATGGTGGGGCATGTCTATAATACCCAGCTCTCAGGAGGTGGAGGCAGGAGGATCAGGAATTGAAGGTTATCTTCAGCTACATAGCAAGCTTGAGACCAGCCTGGTTTACATGAGACCCTGTCTCGAATAGCAAACAAACCCAAAGAACTGTCTGCTGCACCTCCACACAAAGTTCTCACCCATTAATGTCATCCTCCTTGGGGTCCGACCTCACAGTGGGGAGAAGCAGCACCATTGTTAAGAAGCTCGTGCACAGGGACTGTGGACACGACCACAGGCCAGCTGATGTGTCTGGACCACTGTTTTAGACCCTAGGAAGGAGTCCCGAGTAGCAGTGAGAAGGATAGCGTCCTGTTTCCAGACACACCAGGTTCTCTAAGGGTTCAGGACACAGTTGAGCACTTGTATTTTTCCTTCAATTAGATTAGTTGACTTATTTTGTATGTTTGTGGGTACATGCAGGTTGTCACTTTACCCACTGAGCCATCCCACCATCCCAGGCCTTTGTGTTTACTTAGAGGAGTCCCCTGGGGAGTTTTACTTAGAGGAGTCCCCTGGGGAGTTGGGCAGACACACCCTCTTCCCACACACTTCCTCAGAGTGCTTTGCAGCTCCATTAGCTCCCCAGCCTGAGGTGCCTGGTCAGTAGCTTCACCTGTAACTCCAGCAAATGTTAGCCATGCACTGCCGCAGAGCCCTGGCCAGTTATTACAGTGCAGGACAGCTCTTTTGGCTGTCACCTTCCCCTTGAACTACCTTCTTCCTTAGCTGTTTGTGGAACCCCTGCTGACATCTTTTGCAGCCAGCTGTCAGGTGCAAATGGGCTACTTCCCCAAGGTCTGCAGCTTCCCAGAAGGGACAGTGTAAGTGGTGACCACGTGGCTCTTGCAGTATAGACCCATGCATGGTCCAAGCAGCTATGCTTGTAGCACTGATGTGTTCTGTTTATAAAGTAAAAGAAAGGGGCTTTTGTTTTTGTTTTTTTAATTACCTAGAACTGAGAGTTAATGTTTTTGTTTAATTTCCGTTGCATACTCTGGAGACATGGAGAGGTCACACTGAAGCTAGGGAGTGCTGCCAGTGTGTGGTCTGAGAACGGTTGGCAGGAGCATGGCACGCCTTCCAGTGGGGCCCTCTCCCACCCGAGTGGGTAGCTGAGCTGTAACCTCTGTGCCCTCCTTTCAGATACATCCCTCAGAAACAGTCCGAGGATGTGTACGCCTTTGTCACTGAAGTCGCCTATAGGTTACAGCTTCTGCAAATTGAAAACCTGGTTCTGAACCCATGGCTTCTGGTAGTTGCCATTCTACTCCAAAACCAGTTATCCATGGACTTTGACACCCTGGTGGAGAAGACACTGTGGCTAAAGGGCTTGACCCAGGTGTTTGGAGGGTTCCTGATTTGGCCTGGTACGTATATGGGATACGTGTCTTTCACAGAGCAGCCTTTGCATTTCCTAATTTGAGGCCCAGGGAGGGGTCTGCTTGAGAGTAATTGCTGTGTGTTGGTTCACTCTTGAGACTAAGCCTCCAGGACCACAGTGCCATTTCCCTGGCAGCTGCAGACAGAGAAGATTGACAACAGGTGTTTTCACTTTTGCTTCATTTTTGAGACACGGTCTTTCTCTGGCTATTGGGAATATTGTTTGAAGGTGTGTTACTATTGTTTTACATTGCATTCGTTTAACTCTGGAGCTGTGATACTTTACCTGTCTCAGACACCTGGTGGCCTAACAAAACTTTAAATGGCCAATAGTGAGGCAGGAGAAAGGACAGGCAGGGCTGGCAGGCAGCAAGATTATATAGAAGGAGAAAACTGGGAGAAGGGGTTCGGAGGAGTTGTAGCCTGATAAGGAGGAGGACGTCGGGCCAGCCACACAGCTACACAGCCATCCACAGAGTGAGAGTCAGATTTGAAGAAGAGAACAGGGAAGCACAGAGGCAGAGGGTAGATGGGATAGTATGAATGAAGGAAGTGAGCAAGACCAGTCGAGCTAAAGCCGGACGTCTGTAACTAAGAATAAGCCTCGTGTGATTCGTTTGAGAACTGCGTGACAGGCCCCCCAAAAGAGTCCAAAGAGCATAATAATGTCATATTACTACAGCTGGCCGATTTGACTGGGCTAGCTAGCCAGCAAGCCTAAAGAATTTTTTATCCTTGCCTCCCCTTTAGCCTCAGCTGGGATTACAGATGTGTTTTGCTTCTTCTGACTTTTATGTGGATTCTAGGAATCAAATGCATGTTCTACTTTACTGACTAAGCCATCTTCAAAGCCTCAAAATTCTGTTCTTTTGAGGCAGGGTCTCATTGTATAGCTCAGGCTGACCTAGAACTCACTGTATAGCCCAGGCTCATCTCAAACTTGGAACAGTTCTCCTGTATTGGGATTACATACATAGCCAGCGAGTTGCCATACCCAGCAAGTGTACAGTTTGCTACAATGTAGTTAGTTGCTTCTAAAATTATTGCTGGAGATTTGGGAGCTATTGAGGTCAGAGTACAACCTTGTAGAGTCAGTTCTTTTCTGTCACTTCTATGTATGTTCCAGGGATTGAGCTGATGTTTACTGAGTAGAGGCAAGAGCCTTACTCACTGAACCATCCAGCCCCAGTGTTGGTTGTATTATTTTCAGTACAGGGCTTTGTGTATGTTCTGTACCCAGAGCTGCATCCTCAGTCCTCTTTATCTTACTGTGTTTGTAGCCTGACTGCCTTTAGTATGCAGCTAAGGCTTTCTCCAACTCTCTGATACTAGTTCAGTGAAGAAGCATGGTGGTGCATGCCTGTCATCTCAACACTCAGGAGGTGGAAGCAGGAGATCAAGAGTCCAAGGGCAACCATGACTACGGGAGACCACATCTTTATTTAAAAACAAACAAACAAACAATTGGGTGGTGGTGGTGCACGCCTTTAATCCCCAGCACTTGAGAGAAAGAGGCAAGCAGATCTCTGTGAGTTCTAGAACAGCCAAGGCTACACAGAAAAGCCCTGTCTTTTAATTAAAGAAGAAGAAGGAGAAGAAGAAGAAGACGACGACAAAAAAGCTAGGTGTAGTCATGCATACCTCTTAATTCCAGCATTCCAGGAAGACGGGCAAGCAGATCTCTGTGAGTTCCAGCCAGCCTAGTCTGCTGTCAAGTTCTAGGATAACCAGTGCTATATGAAGAGACCTTGTCTCAAAAAAATGGGGTGGTGGTGGGGGGACAGCTCAGTAGCTCAGTAAAACTTCACTGGAGGGCCAGGGAGGTTCAGGAGCTAAAGGTGTGTGCCACACAAGCCTGGCACAACATGGATTCAACCCACAGAACCAGGTAAACAACTGGGCATGGTCGTGTGCATCTATAATCCCAGCATGCTTACCGTCAGGATGAGAAGAGGAGGAGAAAGGAGAATGGGCTATGGGCCTGGCAGTGGGAAGGACGCTCAGCACTTAGGAGCGCTTGGAGTACACAGTGCAGAGTAAGAGGCCAGAAGAGAAACCTGGGACTGGAAGGATGCTCAGTGGTTAAGAGCATTTGCTGCTCTCACAGAGGATCCAGCTCAATTCCTATCACCCAAATGGTGGCTTACAACCATCTGTCACTCTAGTTCCAAGGGCTCAGACCCTCTCTTCTAGCCTCCTCAGGTACTGCACCCATGTGGTGTGCTTATATGCAGGTGAAATACTCATACACTTAAAAATAAATATTGTATAAAATGTAGAGAGAGCTTGCCTCAAAACTAAGTTAGAAGACAAGAGCTGACTCCCAAGGGGCTGGAGAGATGGCTCAGAGGTTAAGAGCACTGGGTTCAAATTCCAGCATTCATATTACAGCTCACAAGTGTCTGTAACTCCAGTTACAGAGGATCTGACACCTTCACACCAACACACATGAAATAAAGTTAAATAATTTTTTTTTTTTAAAAAATAAGCTGACTCCCAAAAGTTGTCCCCTGATCTTTACATTCACACCTGTCACTGGAGTTACTCACTGTGTTGTGAACTTGGGGGTTTGGGGGTGGGAGCCTGTGACAGTAATTAGTGTATATTGAAAATCACAGGTCCTGTAGCTAGAGTGTAATCCCTGGTTCCTGTAGGGTAGGGTACTGGGTGTTGGAGCTAGTGCTGGGGTCAGTGGAATAAGCCTGAGTGCTGTGAACACAACACAGGTTGCTAAGAATCCTAGGGGAGGAACTTGTACTCAGGAAATTTGGAGTTGTGGCTTTGATGGAGAGGCGATCTTCAGAAGGTGAGGACAGAGTGGAGCTTAGCTCATGGATGAGGAAGGAGTGGTGGGACAGGAGCTGGCATTGAGTGACCCTCAGATAGAGTGGGCATGTTAGCTGGCTTTTCAGTTTGAGACAGAAGGAGAGTATGTTAGATCATATAAGTCTGCTGTTTTGAGCCTATAGGTTCTGGGAAGCATGGTGGAATTGGACGCTGCCTTCTCATTGAGTTCACTCTGCTGCTCTCTGTGTAGATAACCAGCTTCCTGAGGAAGTGGTCCAATCCAGCATCCTCCTGCACTCCAACCTCGCCAGCCTTGTCAAAGACCGGGTGGTTCTGAAAGTGGACTATGAAGGCTCAGAAATGGTCAAAGGAGTTGTGCGCCATCACATCATGTTCCTCATGTGCTCGGCCTACAAGAATCAGCTGCTCAACGTTTTTGTTCGTCCTTCCTTAGTAGCTGTAGCCTTGCAGATGACACCTGGGTTCAGGAAAGGTAACTTTTAGGAGCATGGCCCTGAATTTCCAAAGAGGCCTGGCCCTCTAGTGCCAGAAAGGGAGCAGTGTTAAGCCCCCTCTGTTCTAATAAAGGAGGCTGCCCTGCTGGCCTACAGGTCTAGAGTTGGAAAGTATAACAACTTGTGGCTTAGCCCTGACTACTCAGGAGGTTGACGCAGAAGTATCTTCCAGGAGTTTAGAGCCAGCCTGGGCTGTATGGCAAAATAGAGTTTCAAAACAACAACAAAAGAGATGGATCAGTGGTTAAGAGGGTGTCTGACTTTCTAGAGGAGCCAAGTTAGGTTCCCATCACCAGTTTTGGTCAGTTTAAAAGTGCCAACAGCTATAGTTCCAGGGATGCCAACACCCTCTTCTGCCCTCCGTGGGCATCTGCATACGCAGGGCATATACACATGTATGCATACGAATAAAATTAAAATAAATTTTTAAGAGGAAAAATAAAACTTCAGAAAGACCTAGTGACCCCCTGATCTGTACTATATCTTTGAACTAGGAAGATGGCTTAGTGGTTTCCTAGGCAAGCTTGATTGCCGAATTGAGATTTTTTTTTTAAAAAAAGATTTATTTATTTATTATGTATACAGTGTTCTGGCATATATGCCTACACACCAGAAGAGACCACCAAATTTCATTATAGATGGTTGTGAGCCACCATGTGGTTGCTGAGAATTGAACTCAGGAACTCTGGAAGAGCAGCCAGGGCTCTTAACCTCTGAGCCATCTCTCCATCGCCCAAGTTGAGATTCTTAGAACTCATGTAAAAGGCTAGGTGTGGTAACATGTATATGAAGCCCAGCATTCCTACAAGTGAGACAGGAGACTTGCCCCTAAGCTTTCATACCAGCAATACTTGAGTGTTCAACTTAGCAGCAATCAAGAGAGGCTCTGTCTGCAAGGAGGTGGAAATCAAGAACCAATTCCTGAAAGTTGCCCTCTGATTTCCCATATGCATGTTTGTGGCATGCTTGTATCCTTAAATATATACACACAATAAACTAACACTAGTTGTGCCTTTTATATATAAGGGCGATTAGGTCCAGAGAGCCCTGTAACTCCTAGAGAGGCTCTGCATTGGGAACACCATTGCCCAGCTCCTGATCTGCTGCAGTTTCTGCTGTGACAGCCCTAGCAGAGGCAGATGGGACACCACCACGATCACTCTACAGTGTACATGGTATCAGATCACACTGAGTTGAAATGAGTTATGTCTATGTGAGGGTCATGGGGCTCCACCCCAGAGAAGCTCCTTCAGTTGGTCTTGGGAGCACACCTTGGTGTGTGTATGAATAATTGGTGATTGACCTGGGTGTTCACACAGAGTGCTAGGTGACAATGAAGAAATGGTAGCTAGGAAAATGGGGGGAGCTGGGAAATGAGCCCCTTTCTTCTCTACTCAGAAGGAGGCCCCTCTTTTGAGGAATTTCTAAGGGTGGTGGCATCATGCCCGTTTCTAGACTGAGGGATTTGAGGCCTTGTTTAAACTCTACTGACTGTAGTCTGTCCTTCAGATAAACTGTGTTGACTTCAGCTTCCTTGAAGGACTCACTTACTTCCTTGTTACCTGCATACACACACATTTGAAGGGCTATAAGATCAAAAGCAATGCCTTAATGTTGTGAAATGGGTTCTTTCCAGAGGATGTCTTCAGTTGCTTTTCCTTCCTACGCAACGTGTTTTCAGATGAGTTCATCTTCCTTCCAGGAAACACACTCAGGGTAAGTTCTGACCGCCCAGAGCAAGCATGCCATAGTGCGTGTTCCAGAAGTGACAGATGAGGATCCCCAGCATGCCTCTGCACAACAGCACATTTTCTTTGAGAGTGGGCTTGTGGTGGTCCTGCCTGGCAGTGGGACAGCCGTGTGATCTGTGGGTTTGCTGGTGTGGGCAAAGGCAGACAGACAGATGGTGCTCTAGGTTTCAGGGGGAGAGAAATGAGGCCAGCAGGGCTTGAATCTAACTCCACTTGGGTGATTTTCTGGATTTGCTATTACATGTAAGAAAGTGTTGCATTGTCAAGTGAAGAACATCTGTTGTGTGTGTATGTGTGTGTGCATCTGTCTGTGTGTCTGTCTGGGCCACAGCTTCACAAACGCTGTATATTTACATGTTTGAGCTTTGGCACTTGAGTGTTGGAACAAATACTTCCAGCTTCAGTGCATAGTCAGGTGGCTCTGGGAGCTGTGGGACTAGTGATGTTGAGGGTACATGGACCCTTATGTGTATGTGGTTTCCCCTGTCCCTCCCTAGGACTTTGAGGAAGGCTGTTACTTGCTGTGTAAAACTGAGGCTATACAGATGGCCGGGAAAGACATCATTATCACAGACAAAGGGAATGCTGTGTTAGAATTTCTCATAGGGCTCTTTAAACCTTTCGTGGACTCATACCAGGTATGTGAAGTTGCAGATTCTGTGCACGACCATATCAGTATCATAAGACTTTCTTCCTGAAATTATTTCCGATGTGAAGGGTGATTGTGTGCCGGTGAATGGTGGTCCCAGAGAGATAAGTTCCGTGTCTACTCAGGGACAAGCTGGGCCTGTCATAGACTGAGGGTAGCACCCCTGTAAGTCCATGATTACACTCAGAATTGTAGTCATGCTTTGTTTTTCTGTGTTCTTTGTATGACTAGGTGTTGATACATAGTGGTGAATGCTTCTGCTCTGGGGAAGAACAAGAGCAGGGTCCTGCTTAGACAGCCCAGAAGAGGACACAGACTGGGTGTAGGCACTGCAGCAGGATTCTAGGGAGGGAGGGAGGGAATTTGAAAGGCAAATGGTGGGTTGTGCAGGCATTTCAGAAGAGGCATCTGTGTTTTATAGGCTGGCTTTGAGCACTGTAATGGTGGGTGGACAGTGGGAACTGTAATCCCAGAGGTGACCTTGTCCACCGCCTCCCACAAAGTCTAGCATGGGATGGCACTTGATAAACTGGGAATCAGCCAGTGTTTGAGCCTGCATTCTGCATTTAGAAAGAAAGACAGAGCCAAAAACAGTAGGTCCTCAGCTGAGATGAGAAATTCAGCTCTTAACAAATGCCATGTCAAACTGTCCTTTTCTAGTTGTAAAAGCTGCTGACAATTCAAAAGAGCTATGTTAGAAGTTGCAGACCGTGTAGGGTGTTGTTAGTGAGGGCAGTGTGGCCACCGTGCTCTTGTGTTTGACTACCTCCTTTTCTCTGTGTTCCTTTCATTCTTCCTCGTGAAACCAGATACTTTCCAAATACCTCTTGCATGAAGAAGAGGACTGCTTCACTGAGAGACAGTACTTGGTTGCAGCTAGGAAGTTCACCAGTCAGCTTCTGGATCGAGGTCGGTCACATCTCTGGGGGTGGTGGTTTCTCAGCTGAGAATAGGAGTGATCACTCGCCCTCTTCCTTTTTGCAGGTGCCTCTCAGTGTTATGATGTGCTGTCTTCTGACCTGCAGAAAAATGCCTTAGCAGCTTTTGTGAGACTCGGGGTGGTAGAAAAGAAGAAGGTGTAAGTACCAGGTGCTAATGGGGACAAGGGGAGGAGTGACACTGAAGCCTGAGACCCAGCGACAGAGGACACGCAGTGCTGTGCTTCCCTTCTGCTTACCTCTGGCTAAATCAGTGCAAGTTTCCAGAACCTGCTCATCACACAATTAAGAACTTACTCTAGCCCAGGTTTGGTTTAATCTCAGATTAATTACAGAAAAAAAAGTGTAGGGTACCATGTGTAGGTGTGTGCACGCACGTGTATGGATGGAGAGAAACAGATTTCCTAACTGAATCAGTAACCCAGTGGTAAAGTTGACGCTAAACTCACAGTTGTATCTTATGTGATCAGAAGGAAGGTGCGTGCGTGCGTGTAGAGCAGTGGTTCTCAACCTTCCTAATGCTGAGACCCTTTAATAGTTCCTCATGTTGTGCTGACTCCAACCATAAAATATTTTGTCGCTACTTCACAACTGTCATTTTGCTACTGCTGTGAGTGGTAATGCAATTATCCGCTATTTGGACACTGTGAAAGCGTCACTCAATACCACCTCTCACTCTGCCTCCAGGGGTCGCAACCCACAGGTTGAGAACCACTGGTATAGCATCATCTCCTGAATGAAGAGGCCAAACTCTCGTAGTTGTGTATCTTGTGGTCAGAACAGAAGCAAGAAGCCTTTCAACTATTTCATACTGGGGCTGTTATGCCTGGGGCTGTGATAGAGCACTGGCCTAGCATGTGTGAAGACCTGGATTTGGTCCGCAGGCCTGAAGGGGAGAAAAACAAGCTTCATGATACAGGCCTGTAACATCCCGTGATAGAATGTAGAGTCAGGAAGAGGTTATGGTGAGCGACTGTCGGTCCACACAGTAACCCAGCTTTCCTTCTCTTTAGAGATAATAGCATCGTGTTTAGTGTGAACGAGTCTGCCACAAGCAAATTAGAAGAAATGCTTGGTAAGTGCAGCTGTCGTGGACTCAGACCCGTTTCCCTGCTGTGCAGACACTGGCATATGCTGTGGCATGAGTAGTCTTATCAGAGGGATAAGATTCTAATATAAACAAGCTGAGTATAAGCCAGTTTCCCTAAGGAAGAGTGCCAATCACAGCACCTGGGAGAAGAGGCAGGAGGACTGCCATGAGTACAAGGCCAGCTTTGAGCTACATAGTGAATACCAGGCCCTCCAGGACAAGACCCTGTCTTAAAAAACAAAACAAACAGGGTAGTGGAGGGGAAAGGGGGGAAAACAAACATGTGGGGGTTGGAGAGAACTGAGAAAAATGGGAGGAAGATTTTAAAATGGTAAGGGCATCACAATGCTATACACTGCTTACAGTTTTTAAAGAACAGACTTTTAAAGGCCAAAAGGGAAAGAAAAGAAGGTGCAGCAACGTGTTCAGCAAGAAGACCCAGGAACACAAAGTAGACGGTGCTTTCCAGCATGGTCAGTTGCCCAGGCCTCATCTGGACCAGCATGCAGTCCTTCATGTGCGGCTGTGTGTGTGGGGTGACTCTGTTCTGCCTCTGACTTTCATTTTTTCCTTTTTTAATAAAAGATTTTATTTTATCTGTGTGGATATTTTTACCTGCATGTGTGTATATGCACCACATGTGTGCAGTATCCGCAGAGGCCAGAAGAGGGCATTGGATCCTTCGAACCAGGGAGCTGTTAAAATTCTATAAGTGCAACAAGTGTCCTTAACCACTGAGCCGCCTCTCCAGCTCTCTCCTTGTTTGTTTGTTTTTGAGCCAGGGTCTCTTAATGTAGCCCTGCCTGGCCTCAAACTCACTATGTAGACTAGGCCAGCCTCAGGCTCACAGAGATCTGCCTGCCTCTGCTCTGCCCCCTTCTCCTAGTGCTGGGACTAAAGGTGTATGCTATCATACCTGACCTTGTTTTTGTTTTCTGAGGAAGGTCTTATATTGGATATCCGGTTGATCTAGCCCTCACTATACTCACTCTAGCCCAAAGTGGCTTCAAACTCACAGCAATCTTGTCTCAGTTTTACACATCTGCAGTGATGTTTACTGTCCCTCTGAAGTCTGGGATACTCTGGGTGAGGATGTGTGGTGGATTCTTTAATCACACACTGTTTAGTACAGAGTGGAGCTAAGAGCCCTCTGGATGCTGTAGGCTGAGAAAGAGGAACATCTCAAAAAGGCAGCCACTGGCTTTGTAAGGGTCAGTAGAATCCAGAGGAGCCAGCTGCATAATCAGTGGGACTCTCAGTGTTTGCAGCCTGCCTTGCAGAGAGGACCACAGCCTTATGACAGAGCTGTAGCAACAAGCAAGACCGTCATATTTCATGAGCTGTTTCTTTATCTTAGGATGTAAGATGCCCATAGGAAAACCAGTCACTGCAAAACTTTAGTAATCATGAAGCGGTTGTGGAAAATCCAGTTCCATGTGACAGTCACAAAGGACTCACTGCCACAAATGGACATCGAGAGGAGGATGTCTTCTGTCTCCGAGACCTTGTGGCCGTACTTCTGCCAAGAGGAGGAAATGGTCAGTGAGAGCATCAGTGTGATCTCCTGACACAATGACTGCTGGCGTTCATGTCAACCGTGTGTCTAAAATAAAAGCTTTTTGAAAACATTCTTGGAAACAGAGCTCAGGCCCCCATTCACTGCCACGTGGTTTGTCACACATGCTCCACCTTCAGCGCATGTGACGGATTGTACAGCAGCAGCTTTGACCACTCAGCTGTGCAGGCATACGCTGAGGAGGGGACCAGGTGAGTGTTCACAGCCCAGCCTGGAGCTGGGAGCATGAGCATGACAGGGCTTTCTCCTGAGCTCCATGAGGGGCCCATTCAAAACACAGGAGTATTAAGAACATTGTGTATGGTTATCTGTGGGCTGTGTGTGTTCATGTCCAGACTTAGGTCGTATCTCTAAGACATTTTGTTTTAGATCAGCAGATCTTCCAAACTCTGAAAAGCAGCCCAGCTCAGTGCTCTTTGTCAGATTATTCAATAACCTGTTCTTATTGAACAACAAAAAAATCACCTTTAGATCAGACACACTTCCTTCCATTGTAAGTATTTTGGATAAGGGACTCAACCTGTATCTTACATTTCTACTTTAATTAAGTTGATTCAAGTACAAATTTGACAGAAGTGTCTAATAAATTATCTAGTTTAAATTTTATACCCAGTGGTCTCATGATCAAGTTGAACTATGTAAAGTGTGAACAACAAAGAGATGTTTACATGATGTGACATGACTATACATGGAGAGAGGAGTTTGGAGCAAGACAGGACAGCTCTGCAAGTTAGTCCCTCTGGAAGTGGCCTATGACCCAGCATCAGTGGAACTATATCAGGGAGTGGGGCTGGGTAATAGAGGAAAAGATTGTGGGTGTGTGCAGAGAGTCGTGGTCTCACATAGGCCCCTGGGGGCTGCCAGAACAGAGAGCAGGACCTGCGGATGCATCTAGCCTCGGATATCTTGTTCTCTGAGAGCTGATGTCCAAGATGAAGGTATATCCACAGCAGGTTCACCTTGGCTTTGGACATGACTGCTGACTCTCCATGGGACTCAGGACCAAGTAGGCTGGACATGGTGGTACATGCTGTATTCCCAGCAGGATTCTCATCATGAGGAGCTCTCCCTCAGTATATGAATCTAGGTTACAGTTCAATCATCGGGATAAGCATTTTAATATAAGAACCAAGGAGGGTCTCTGTAAAGCCCAGTATGGTCCTGTCTCCTAATTCCCCAGGTGGTGCCTCTATTCTGAGGACCTATGACAGCCGTTGCTGCACTGGTCCACAAGTGACAGACAGGCCCTATGGCAACATTTGCTGCTTTGAGAAGCTAGAGGGGATTTCTGCATGTTGAAATGAGCAGGGCCGTTGAACAGTGGTCCTGGCAGTGGACTCTGGTGGGCAGATTACAGGTCCATCAGCCACTGTCAGCTGCCACACCTAAGCATACTGTTCTGCTGATCTGAGCTGAGCTGTTCACCAGCCAGGTGCAGGCCTTGAACTCACAAGGTGGCTGAGGATGAATGAGCTTCAGGTCTTCCTGACTCCACCTCAGTGCTGAAAGAGACTACAGGCACGCAGCACCATGCTGGTTTATACAGTGCTTCTGCAATGCTGGGGATTGAACTCAGTCCTTTGTGCACACTAGGCGAGCACCATACTATACCTTATCCCAGGCTCACAAAAGGACTATTCAAAGTGTTTAAATCTGGGGCTGAAGAGATAGCTCAGAGGTTAAGAGCACTGAGTCCAGGTCCTGCCACCCACGTTGGGTGGCCTGTAACACCTGAAACTCCAGCTATGGGAGATCTGACACCCTCTTTTTGCTACAGAGACACATTACACATTTTTTTAAGTGGTGGAGCCTGGTATGATAACACACTTTTCCCCAACACTCGTAAGACTAAGGGAAGGGGATCTCTGTGAACTCAAGACCAGCCTGATCTAGAGAGTTCCAGGCCAACCTAGGGTTATGCAGGCCTTATCTAAAAAAGAAAAAATAAAATCTTACTACACATAAGGCTATTTCTATCACAAAATGAGTAATTATGATTATTGGAAACAGATTTTCCTGTGTTGTGGAGAATACATAACTTTCCTGATCATCAAATTTGGCAGTTTATCTAAATTAAGAAAGGATAGTTGTCTGGGATTTAGGCTGACATCACAGTAAAGGGACCAAGAAGGAATCATGGGTAAATACAGGACCTACTCTGGTACCTCCAGGAAAATGGTGCAGAAAATTGAAATCAGCCAGTACACCACGTTTACTAGATCCTTCAGTGGCAAGACAAAGCAGAAGAGATAGACTGTGGGCATCTGGCATCATGGTTCCTGCATGAAAACAGTGGCCAGAGGGACTTAAACCTAAAGTGCCATGTCTGTGACGCAATCAGGTCTGCCACCAGAGGACTGAAAGCCCAGTAGAAGCACTGCTATTGGAGATCTCTAGCTTACAATAAATGGGTTAATGTAAATAACAAAAAGGAGACCGTTTGGCACAGCAACACCTAGAAATAGATTATATACATATATTCCCATAAATCAAAGGAAGGTACATCTATCCATATCTCATCCTCCCCAGTTAATTTTTTTAAAAGGGGTGTGTGTAGTTCCCAAAGAGGCCAAAAGGGTGTCGTTCTGGAGTTAGGATTTTGGGTACTGGGAACTGAATCCCAGTCCTCAAGACCAACAAGTGTTCTTAGCCACCCTGCTGCCTCCCCTGGTATCATCATCTCGTCATCTTCCTCTCTCTTTTTTAAATTTTTTTTAATATTTATTTATTATGTATATAATATTCTGTCTGAGTGTATGCCTGCAGGCCAGAAGAGGGCACCAGACCTCATTACAGAAGGTTGTGAGCCACCATGTGGTTGCCAGGAATTGAACTCAGGACCTTTGGAAGATCAGGTAATATCTCTCTTTCTCTCTCTCTCTCTCTCTCTCTCTCTCTCTCTCTCTCTCTCTCTCTCTTTTGTGACAGGGTTTCTACATTGTCCTAGCTGTCCTGAATTCACTATGTAGACCAGGCTGGCCTTGAACTCAGAGATCTGCCTGCCTCTACCTCCTAGCTGGGATTAAAGGGATGCACCTGGCCTTTTTTTCAGGCAGGGTTTCACTGGGTAGCCCTGATTAACCAGAGTTTCCTTTGCCGCTGCCTCCTGAATGCTGGGATTAAAAATGTGTGCCATCACATTCAACTCAGAATATTTTCAAGTCACGCTAAAAAGATTACAGAAAATGAAGTCATGATTTGTTAACTGTGGACACTACACTGTCACAGAAAACCCCCAGGAAGTACAGCTACAGTGAGATGCTTTGAAACACTTGTGTGAATAAAGCCAGGTAACTGAATTCTGGGGGAGGGTGCACGTAGCGCTTGCCAGGGTCACCTAGCAGACTGTAGGGTGGGCAGTCAACACGGGTGAGGACCTTGCTGCTCTCTTTGCAGTCCCTTCAGGTCTCTTCCAGACATGCCCATGGTACACGCTTCCCTTTCTTTTCACATCTCTATCTGCCAGGAGTTTCATGAGAAACTGCCGTCCACAGCTGTTGTTGTTGTTGTTGTTTTTTTTTTTTGAGACAGGGTTTCTTTGTAGCTTTGGAGCCTGTCCTGGAACTAGCTATTGTAGACCAGGCTAGCCTCAAACTCACAGAGATCCGCCTGCCTCTGCCTCCCGAGTGCTGGGATTAAAGGCGTGAGCTACCACCGCCTGGCAACTTTGTCCTATTTTCAAACATAGAAGAGGACAGGCAGCATGAAGCATAGCGTTTGGTCCTTTAACTCTATAGTGGCTTTCTTATTTCCCACCCACTGTTCTGATATTTACCTCAGTCAGTGATCCACAGGTAGCATAAAACTTGGCTCTTAAAATTCTCACCTGTACATCTGAAATTTCCCACTCAAGGATATCCTGAAAACCTTTCTAGGGCCTGGGGTGTTGCTTTAATTACTTGCTTAGCATCAGGCCCCGGGCTTGATCTCCAGCACCCTCAAGACTCAAACTATTTATTCTCAATTCTGACAGTATGCACAATACTTAAAATATAGTAGTTCTCTGTCCTCCCCACATAAATAAAAACGTAAGAATATTGAATAAAGCTAGTGGTGGCGCACGCCTTTAATCCCAGCACTTGGGAGGCAGAGGCAGGTGGATCTCTGTGAGTTTGAGGCCAACCTGGTCTACAGAGCGAGTTCCAGGAGAGGTTCCAAAGCTACAGAGAAACCCTGTCTTAAAAAACCTAAAAAAAAATGGGGGTGCTGGAGAGATGGCTCAGAGGTTAAGAGCACTGACTGCTCTTCCAGAGGACCTGAGTTCAATTCCCAGCGACCACATGGTGGTTCACAACCATCTGTAATGAAATCTGGTGCCCTCATCTGGCCAGCAAGCATACAGACAGAAAAAAAAATACTGAAAAAACATAAATAGAACAGGCCAGACAGGAGGTGGCTGGCTGCACACATTTTACAATCCCAGTACTCTGGAAGCAGAGACAGGAGGATCTCCTCGCTAAATGAGAGCCTGGTCTACAAAGACAGTTCTAAGCCAGTCAGGGCTAGAGCAAGATCCTGTATCAAACTAAGTGCAGATAAATAAGCAAATAGAATGTTACAGTAGCAATTCTATCCGCTGTGCGAACACTGTAAAGCTTTATTTTATCGGACAGTTTAGACAGCGTCATCTCACAGCATACCGAAGTATACAGCAATGCTGCCATTTTCAACACAAGCCCCTGCTTCCAATCCTAGCTGAGAATCAAGGCGCAGGAGGAAAGTTGGGAATCTATTGACAGGCAGCATTTTGAACACAAAGGACTTAGAGCACTTAAGTGACAGGAGGCTTTCATCAGAGACCAAATTCCCCACCTGTAATTCCTGATCTATGCAGTTAGTGTTGAAGCAAACAAGAAAAGGTAATTAATGTTGAAGTGGGGAGTCAGTACGAATGCCACCGTCACTGTGTCAGATGATCCTTCAAGCTTTAGAACTTGCTTGGTGTCTGGCACCCGAGGTGGATCCAGTCAGCTTCCCAGGAACACAGACTTGCCAGACTCCCTCTACTATACTGAGGAACCCATTAGCCCATTCTTAGCAGAATAAAATTCTCTACTTCCATTTCCATAAAGATTTATTATGTGGGGAAACACAGTCATTATTACAGCTCTCTGCACTAAGCTTTCCGTTCCCCAGAACCCAGCGCTGTATTCACACACAACGTTCCATATATCAGACTTCAGGAGCACCAAATAATCACCACAATCGCACAATTCTATGAAATTCAAATTTCCAATGATCTTAAACTAGTATTTTTGTTTGGCTGGGAATCAGTTATGGTCATGTAAAAAAAAAAAAAAAACAAAACAACAACCCTATGCTCAGCAGAGTTGTACAAGCCTTTAATCCTGGCACTTGGGAGGCAGAGGCAGGAAGATTTCTGAGTTCAAGGCCAACTTGGTCTACATTGAGAGTTCTAAGACATCCAGGACTACATAGAAAAACCCTGTTTTGTTTTTTTTTTTAAAAAACATAATTTAGAAAAAAAGTAAAAATCAGCAATGGTGATTTCCAACTTTTTAAGTATGTAGAGCTAATAAAATATTATAGTAAAAAAAATGTTGATCTGGTCTGAAATGAGTTAAATAAGCCAAGGAGTTTTATAGCCCTAAATCACTGCAGAAACCATTTAAGGTTTTTTTCTTGATTTTATTTACTTATTATGTATACAGTGTTCTGGCTGTACATGTAGTCAAACATGCAGAAGAGGGCACCAGATCTCATTATGGATGGTTGTGAGCTACCATGTGGTTGCTGGGAATTGAACTCAGGACCTCTAGAAGAACTGCCATGCTAATAACCTCTGAGCCATCTCTCCAGCCTCACCATTTAAGGTTTTACACAATTTTATGTCTTAACACTACTTTTTTGATTCAGAAGAAAAATAATCCTTAGAACCAGTGGTATAAAAACAGCATCGTGGACAAAAGCCACAGCTGGAAGCTAGTGGGTAAGCGGGTCTTCAAAAACACTTTCTATTAGAGGAACATTAGATAATCAGTATAGTGCAGATCATTTTACAAGCCATAGCTCCCACCCGCCTACACTTTCCTTTACTGAACAATCGGAAATAACCTGGAATTCTCCTAAAAGAGAGGCAGGGTCTTTCTACAGAGCCCTGGCTGTTCTGGAGTTCACCTTGTTGACCTGGCTGGCCTTGAATACACCTGCCTCTTGCTTCCAGTGCAGTGATTAAAAGCATCAGCATTCCTGGCTCTTGTGTTTTAAAGTGCAACACAGCATTAGAGGGGTTACAAAAGGTCCCTTCCCTGTGCTTGAGGCATATCCATCTCTCCTCAACTATCCACTAAGTTACAAAAAAACAAAACAAAACAAAAACAACAACAACAAAAAACACACCCTTGAGGGCAGAGGATGTGGTCAGTGGGTAGAGTGCCTGCCTAATATGCACAAAGCCCTGGGTTTCCCAACATAGCGTAAACTGGGCATGGAGGCACACACCTGTAACCCCAGCCCTTGGGAAGTGGAGTTAGATTTAGAAATTCAAGGTCTTCCTTGGATACAAAACCAGCCCAAGACACCAGCCTGGGCTGAAAGCTATCTCAAGAAAACAAGCAAATCTGCTCAAAGCAGGCATTAACAGTGAGATTTGCATTATTTTTCTAACTCCTAATCTACATAGACCCTGAACTACCATACCAGTAAATATTCAAAAAAAGGAGCTCTGCATTTGCCTTAAATCTCAGTGGCTCCTAAACCAGGCTGGGGTCTGCAGTGGCCTGCAGCCACTCACCCACGGCTAGGCTCCTTGGGGTGGGCCTTTCCCCATGACTTTCCCTTCCTGAACATGGCAAAGGCACTGCAGCAGCAAATTCATTCGGTTCTCGAATATGTTAAAAATTCACCATAGTCCTTGTGATTCCCGGAAAGATGCGAAGTACTATGATGCTAATTAGCCATGGAACATGCTACCTTTTCGGTGGCTTTTGGATGCCTGCGGAGTTGTTTTATGAAGACTTCCATGTACCTACGAACACTGGAGAATCTGGTGCCCACTTATCCAAATCTATCCCAAAGCAGTATTCCCAACTCATGTCTTCTCTCCAAACGGATTAGCTTAAAGAATACATAAAGCCAATGCATTACATAGCACTGACCATCAAAAAGCTACAATTTTGCTGAATATGGGTTTACATATTTTTCTAGGTGGCACAGAGTGCATTGCTCCTGAATGTCCTACGATGAGAAGTGTGTTTCAAGTCAGAGGGTAATCTGAAATGCCATGGTGTGACCATGCATTCCTTAAGGAGTTAGTACGAAAGTGTGGCTTATGCTCTAATAATTCCTGTATGGGGGTACTTAACGCATTTTCTTTTCTCCTTTGACTGTGTTTCAATGAGGGCACTGTGTACGCTGTTTTGACTCTGAGGAATGTGCTGACAAGTGTCATATAAATACAAATAGTGCACTGTAGTCCGTATATACACACACACACACAAACACCAGACCAGGGCCTCAGACCACAGAAGTGGTGCTCTCGGGATTCACCCGCAGGAGTCTGGATGCATTCCGCAGGTCCTGCAGCTGCTTGGCGGGTTTCCCCACACCTTCCTCAAACCTCCTCTCCACCACTGGGAGGACAGTTTCATAAAGGAAGGATGCATTCTGCCTGATGAAGGCCTTCTTCTCTGGGTCCTGCTCGCACCGCAGGCTGTAGTCCACGTGCTGCACGGCAACCAGGATGACTTCCACCAGACTCTCCAGGAGCACCATGTGTAGCTCTGGGAAGTACAGTTTCAACGCCTCCTCCAGGAAGCCCATGGTCTGCTTGGTGAAAGCCACCACGGTGTAGCTCAAATTCACCCAGCAGTCATCTCCCGTGTACTGCTCGAAGTTACTGACCCCACAACTTCTCATCTCCTCTTTGAGCTTTCCCAGGGCCTCGGGGGTCATCAGGTTCATCCGGCGCCACATCTCCTCTGAGTTTCGGTGCTTGGTGGCTTCAATAATAATCTCCTTGTAACTGTGTAAGGCCCCCTGGATGTCCTTCACCAGCAGGGCATGGATGATGAAGGTGAGATCCAGCCCAATCTCTCCCAGCTGCTGGCAATGCTCCTTGGCCACCTTCACACACTCAGCTGCAGTGGACAGGCTCTCCTTGCTGTCGAAAACCTGCTTGCTGAAAGCATCCACAAACATGCCCATGGCAGACCTTGCCCAGACCACGAATGCAGAGTAGCAGCCGCTGTCCGTGCCTGCAAAGTCTGTCTCAAATTCCCTTGCCGTCTCCAGCAGGCTGGTAAAGAAGACGTGGCAGAGCTTGTGGATGTAGAGCAGAGTGGCGCCCTCGATCCGAAGCTGGCGGATGGCAGTGTGCACGGCTGCTGCCCTGTTCCTCAGAAACAGCTCACAGGCCTTCGTGCACTGGCCCAGCCGGATCAGCTGCGACACGGCCCTGCGAGTCGCCTTAGGGCCGCCTCTCAGAGAGCGATCCGGGGAGAGCTCAAACACCAGCACATCGGTGAGCTGTCGCACTCTTTCGTCCACTTTGGCCCTCAGCTCTTTCACAGGCGGTGGGCTGGGCTTATCTTCCAGGTAGTGATTCAATTTGTCCAGCAAGTCCACGGCGCCCTCAAAGTCCCTCTGCGCAATACAGACATCTAGGTCTTCGGGCAACTCCTGGATCCATTCCATGGAGAGATCTACCTTTTCCTCCTCTACCTCGGGGGTGACCAGTTCTTCATCATCCTCGTCTTCAAACGGGTTGCCGCTCTTGGAAGTGACCGGTGGCGGCGCGCGGGGTGCCGCTGCCTCCTCCTGCTCCCTCCTCCTCTTGTCGCTGAGCGCCCTCTTGGTTTCCTCCAGCACTTCCAGCCACTCGCGTTTAATCTTGGCATTTTCCGCCTGAAAGATGCGGCTCTCAGGGAACATGAGCAGCTTGAACATGTCCTTCATGGGCGGGTTGTCCTTGACGTTGACCACCGCCAGGCGGTCCAGCGGGTAGAGCGCGTTGTAGCGGTACATGCCCCGCCGCTGCGGCAGCCAGGTGGCCACCAGCAGACAGTCGTTCATGAGGAAGCCGTGCACGCGCTGCAGCTGGGCCATGTGGTCCGCCTCGTACTCCACCAGGTCCCCGTTGTACACCAGGTACTGGCCCGGCGTCTCCAGCAGGTCCCTGCAGCCCTCCACTTTCTCCAGCAGCGTGGTGAGCGTGCGTTGTTTGCCCTCCTCGCCCG